TGTAATGCAGCGATTTTGTCACAGTCGGCGTGAACGAAAGGCGATGCTCGGCGTTGCCGTGCGGATTTCGGGCCCCTTGTCCAAAGAGCAGTGACTCGACGAGGACGATAATCTCCTCAAACTGCGCCTCAAACGCATCCCAGCACACTTCAAACTTGCCAATGTCGACATTGGCCAGAATATTGGCGAGTATATGCCGCATGTTGAGGATTGTCAGTAGCTTTCTGTCACTTGGCTTCACGTACGGCGACGAGTATTGCAGCGCATCCATCTTGGTCTTCCAGTTTTGCAAATGGACATTGAGCATGACGCGTCTTTTTATAATAGAGCTTTGCTGCGACGCGTCGGGCCGCAAAGGCAGTGCCTTGAACAGATCCCTCAGCCCGATCCATATCATCTCAAACTCGAGGCAAGCATCGGCCGGGGAGAAGAAGGGCCTCTTGCACAGAGACGACAGCGCCGGCTCCCACTGCCAAGTAGAGGTGCGCTCCGGGCCCTGCGCGTCCGGCGGCGACGAGTCCTGGGCAAGCCCATCTATCTGAACGTAAAACAAGAGCAGCGATGCGCTGGGGAATATGCTGTTGCGTATCTGCGGCGGCGAGCCAACGTCGTCGGGAGCCCGCGCCTCCCAAAACTTCCATTGGTGCATCAGATTGATGCCGTTTCTCAGATGGACCAGACTTTCCAATAGCCTTCCTTGATGGAGGCAGCCAGCGAAAAATAACAGGTTGGCAGCTAGGATGGAACCCTTGTCGTTGAAGCTGAGCGCGTCGCCTTGTTGCGCCATGGCCATGACGTGCTTGAGCGACATGGCATGCTGTTGCAAGGCAAAAGTATACAGGTGCTGCCTCCTCTCGACAGTGAGAGCGGCCTGAGTAGCATTCCACGCCGAGAGTTTAATGGCATCCATCTGATGGACCGCGGCGAGGGCATTGCAGGCGTGCCAAACGGCAGGTTGGTTATTCGCCGCCCGTAGAATGTACACATTCCACAGCGTGCGGTTGAACTCGTCGGCTCGATGTGCCGCCACTTCGGTGCGGTAGTAGTGAAAGATGTCCAGCTCCTGCGGCGTCGCCGTGACTTGTACGGGCGATACAACGACCGGCGGCTGGTATAACTCGAGAGTGGTGATTTGCTTAGCGACGTGTTGCTGACTCGTCTCGGGTTGATGTACTGATTCTTTGTATCCGTGGCAAACGTAGCCCAGCCTGCGGCATCGCCTGCAGTAAGGCTTTTCCTCGTCGCACTTGACCCGGCGGAGGCTGCATGGTTATTCATCAAGATGACTCTGGTCAGCCCTCGGTAGTGATTCGTCGCAGAGGTTTCCCTCTTCCTGCAGTGCCAGAGACTTACCGACAAGTAAGACAGCCGGTCCTGGTCTTGGGTGCCCATCGCTTCTTGCGTACGTGGTCGGCCGCCTCGCCCGGTTTTGAGCGCACGGGGATATTTGCGTCCCCAGGCGGTGATGTCTGCTGAGCCGCACCGGCGTCGACCATGTCGCCTCTGAACTCTATCTTTGACGCATCCGAGGAGACTAGCAACATTGAAATGCGATTGAATTGGAGGGGGGAAAGGCACATGCATGGAGCAGACCGGACTTTGAGCCTCCAAATGACCCGCCGGACTCTGCAGCCCCCGCAGCCTTGCATCTCTGGTTACACGGTAGAGCCGTTAAGTTTCTGCCAGACATTGATATGCTATGCTGCGCCGGACTGTTGCGGCACAAGCCAAAGGAAAGCCTAGATTGTGGTTGAGTTATCCGCACTTGGGTGGCTATCAGTGAAGTTGGTCGACGACTCGACACGGTGAACGATGCGCGTTCGCATAATCTACTTCAACTTTCTCTTTTCGTACTTTATGTGAATCTTCAAGCCAGGTGCAGTTACATTCGGTTTCTCTAGCTAAACCGCATTCCATCCCGCCCTTGGCTCGCCTCCATTCAACACTGGTCTTGCTCGAAACTGCCATTGCTCTTACTTGTTATACATTGGCCTCGCTATCCACCATCGGGGCATCTACCTGTCCATTCCAGCAGGCTTGACAAACGCAGTGTCATGTAACTACATCAAAAGAGCCGTGTTTCTTCCCACGACTGCCCAACTTGGCTGTTCGACTGCTTCTCCTCCACCAGCCGGGTGGTGGTCGGCATTCGGGAATATGCCCATTTCTCAATAGAACTCCACCTGACACAGATGGACTTTGCGTTGGATTGCGTCGCCGGTTTGCCGGTTTTGGCACCATTCCAATAAAACGAATATACGTCGGTGCTGCCACGACACATGGTAGCCAATCGCAGAGTCTCCAAGCAGTGATCTGTCGGAGAAGACGACATTAGCACAGAATATTCTTGAACGGGCTCATAAACAAAGTATGGCGGGGATGGAATACCGAGGTGGCCGCGGAGATATTCATGCTGCGCTTCGGTAATGTTGGGGTAGTAATGCCCCCGGTATAGATAGAATCGCATTTGCCTCTGCGCAGGGTCAGCACTTTCCACTCAATGTATTTGTCAATGAGCTTCCTACCACGCAATGAAGTTCGTGGTAGACACCAAGACTTGCGGGATATCCTCCTCCCTCCAGCTCCGCAAGGTTTGCCATCGATTCGCCCGCTCTCTCAAGTTCGTCGCGAGTCGCATTAAAGTGGACGGCTACAAATCGTGTTTAGCTTAGGTTTTGTGACATGAGAGAGAACTGGGCCACTCACGTCGCATGAGGGAATCCCAGGCCGCGTCATTGTCTTGGGTGGGAGGTCCAGCGTACTGGCTGTGCTTGTCGTGATGGACGGCATGTTCGCTACTAAGCTCATACTGGACGAGGCCATTTACAGGGGCTAATGGCACATTTAAGCAATTGCATCTATTTAAATGACCACAGATACTTACACCAGCTGCGTCCTTGGGTGGGCAAATTGCCACTTGAATGTCTGTTTCTACTCCAGAGCGACACTGCCAATACGATGGCGAGAAAATGTAAAGCGATGGAGTATATTCGCGAAAAGGTCAATGCGGCTTTAAAAGGCTTGTTCCGATGCACAGACTGTTGTTTCTCAATGGTTCCATCTGAACTTGTGAGGTATATCAATTCCTCATTGTCTTCAGCAGCTTCGAGTGTCGACGGTGCCACAGGACGGTGCATGGTGAGGCGAGAATGTATGATGCGCTTTGGTACATGTCTTGTCAAAGTGAAATTGCATCTCAGCTGATTGGCGTAATCGGCTTTTGTTGCAAGCGCACATAATCATCTCAAGTCAATGAGAGCCGCAGCACAGGCTTCGTCCGGGATCGTACGACATGGTATTCAGCAAGCTGCTTATCTAGCGTCGTGCGCTGCCGGACAAAGGAGGTGAGGATCAGCACTCCTATGACATATGGAGGGATTGACAAAACATAAGCTGGCAACAAGGCTGGATCCTTGAGTCGCCATGCCCAAAATATAAAGACATGTCAGCTACTCGGAGCTTGGAATCGGAGGAGTCCGCAATCATCTGCCCAACTACGATAACGACATTGCTTCTGTCAACCTGGGAAATACATCGCGCAATCAATCTATAGCTCAGATACATGATGCGGTATCATTCAATCGCCATCGCAGCTCTTGCTCTGCTAGTCAGCCATTTAGTTGCTCAGCCAATCTACGGTACTGCGATAGTCGACCCCCCTTGGGAACTTGTGACGCTAACAAAGCCATTGTAGGCACTGAGTTCCTGGATGCGCCGGAACCCGAGGGGGTCGACGTCAAAACGCGTTTGTTCTAGGCTTCAGAGAACACGGCGCACGATCAAGTCCACCCCGAGAAGAAAATGTAATGACATTGCATAGTTTTGTACATTGGAGAGCTCGCAGATGGGCGACTGGGCGGGTTTCGCGCGTTGGCAAAAGACACTCACACAAACACAACTATATATAACGAATTTGACTACTCTGCTGCCGGTCGGGACCTTCAAATGTTGCTATGTGACTGCCATATCCGCAGTATTCGATATCATAACATTGTCCGTTTCCATGTTTCATTTTCCTCGGCTGTGCGGTGTCCTACTCGTCTGCGAGGCCGAAAATCGCCAAACATGCGTTTTGCGTAATGTGAAGGATGGGGGATGGGGGCCAAAGGCTAAACTGCATGCTTACGTTGGAGCAAGGTTGGACAGCGTGCAAGCGGCCTCACCGCATGAACCTGACGCCCTGGGATGTAACCATATGATGTCGCGAGAACCCTCAAGCGCCCAGGGGGCACGGCTCTCAGCCAACAAAACACACCGTCGACGCATGTCAGCGGACAAGGTCAATACCACGCAGGCCCATCGAATCCACCGCACTTGACTGGAACGAGATGATGCCGAGCCGTTCTGAACCCTGCTAGTGAACAAGATACCCGGTGCTCTGAAGGGCCGAAGTCGACTTGGACCATCATGGAGAAAGAAGATCCTGCGGAGTCGGTGTTTGCAGAGCGACAAAAACCCGGTCAAAACCCGTGGTCAATGCAACCAAGGATTCTTGTTTGCCCATTCTGCGACGGAGGCTATTCTTGGTTAGGTCATAACACGAATGTTTCTACTGCTTATTGACCTCTTCCTATTCTATATAACCCTAACCTGATTATTACCCTCACCGTCACGTAACCACAACCACCATCTGCCACTTTCCAATCACGTATTGCCCGCATCTACTTTCCTGTAAACAACAACATGTGGGTTTATACTTTATGTGGATATCCGAAATTCTTTTATACCTTTTTATTCGGATAATTGGCAAAATCTGTGACAAGAGCAGTATAACTGGGCTTGGAACAGCAGTTCAAGGTTCAATTCAATAAGCAACTTTGAGATATCAAAGGTCCTTGGTTTCCCTCGAGGCCTCGTTGACTAAAGACCTCTTCAAATGCAAGAAGTCGGTGAGGGACTTTGCCCTAGACCCCGTGACCGTGGTCCTCGTGTAGCCGTGTGACACTTGGTGCTCGTGTCTCGCCCTGCTTCATGTAAACCGTGATGAGAAATACCACGAACTACTGTGCAGAAGAGAAAAAGTCGCCAGGTTTCTTGTCTCCTCCATCCCACTATAACTTGAAGAGTGAAGATGAACTCTTGCACTATTAAATCAAACCAAGCTTACTTGATCTAATAAAGGCAGTTTTATCCGACGAAATGAGCCTCTCGTAGTAGGCAAGTCTCAATACTAAGATTGTCCAAAACATAGTCGCTCAACCGCGCGGCTAATTCTTACCGACGTAGTATCTACCCATATGTAGAAAAAATTTGCTACCAAAAAGATGATCGCAAAAGTGATTGCATTTCCCAGGCCGACCGCTGCTATCCACCGCATCATGCTCTCACCATCAGTACCGAGATACTTCCATATAGCTGTAGTAATGGCATATCCCACAATATGTAATAAGGGACCATGCACAATATATAGTGCATAACTAATACGTCCTAGATACTGCGCTATTCCTGTCAAGAATAGCTGTTGCAATGCTGGCGAGCTTGAGGTTGCCCATATTAGCATTATCGCCCCGGCCCCATAAACAATTCGCCGTTTATCGCCATAGCTTTCTGGTATCATGGACGTAATTGTAATGTATCCTGGAGTCCCATCGATATGTGTAGACGGGGCCGATAGCAGATACAGCCCTGTGAATAGGACGATGGCAGTTACTGCGGCTTTTTGAGGGCCGCCAATAGCCGATAACAAGCTGTCGTCCTTTTCACTTTGCATAGGGAGAGACTCGTTGTGTACATCTCTATACATCTTGATATCCGCCAGCATAGCTCCTGAAAGAAACATGACAACCTCCCAACGAGCCCAAGAAGCACTGAATTGTATAAATGCCAGCAATAATAGCCATCGAGCGAGAGGACGACACCGCGCCACAATAACAAGAACCAGCATTAAGATGAGTGATGTTCTGACCTCGTATGGCACTGTCCATAGATGCGGGTCATAGACGTTATAATATGGCTGGGCATCTGACGAGGTCATGTATGTCCATAGGTTGAAAAGGCCTGCTGTATGATGCCACCAATCCGCCAACTGCGCAGACATGGTCGGCTGCCGGGGTGGGTGAAAGTCTGGCCATCCTGCAAACATTCCGGCATCAATCGCCGTCCGCGAAGCTTCCCACCACCCTAGGCGTACCGTGATGGCAGAGAAGAACGTTGCGAAGACGGGCGGGATGTAGAGCCGGATACTTCGGCGTAGTAGGCTAGAGCTGATTGATGTAAAAAGCTTATCCCATTGCTTCTCATAATGCATCATGTGCAGCGGTCGCAGGGCGTTTACGTAGCCGCCAATAACGAAAAATACACAGACCATAGCATGGCCAGCATACAGTAATCGTATAAATGGAAGCTGAATAAAGGAACAGTTTTCGCCGTTATGGCCGTAACCTTTCTCTACGGCGCTGGAGTAAGCCTGGGCTGTGTGGTAAAAGGCGACGATTAAAGCGGCTATCCCTCGCATACCATCAAGAAACGATGTTTGTTGGGATATAGCTGAGCTTGAAGACACCTTTTCATTTTTCGCGGCGAAAGAAAAAATTGTAGTAAAGAGTTCCAGGAGCTTCAGGGACGCATACTTCAATTTCGGATGCATGGCAAGTAGATCCAGGACACAATATACAGGGCCGTGAGTGATGATAAAGTCGAACTTGCATTAAGTCCACTTTGCACAACAGAGATAGTTGCAAGCGCTTGGGTATTGCTTGGTTTCCATCGACACCTTTTACCTAGACATGGCCCCGACTGAGAAAGGGGGCCCTGCATGAATAAATTACCCCCTGTCCCTTCCTGGTCTGTAACACCAGACGTTATGCGTTTCGAGATACCTTGCGGTGAATGCAGCAAATAGGAGAGATAATATAACATAGTTTCGCGCTAGGGTTCAGATAAAACAAATCCACGTAAAAATAGTGATTTTCATACCGGCCCGGAAGATGACGCAGTTGAGTTTTTGACTCCGATTTTGCTCATCTTACCGTCGCTCTTAATATAATGACATCTGGAGCTATTTAACTACATATGTAGTTCGTCAACCAAGGGCTAATCGAGTCCCCAGCTTCGTGGCTCAGTTCTCCACGCAAAACGTCCTATCTACTTGGGAAAGATCCCTGTCCCGAGCCGCCTGTGCAAGACTAGGCCAGTTTTCAATTTCTATGTGGAAGGTACCGTCGACCTTTCAATATCACGTCGAAGGACAAAGAGACGGCAGTGTCTTATTTTTGCGGCAACTACACCGGCACTAGACAGGTCTGGCTTGATCTGGCAGAAAACTACAGCTGGGAGCACACTTAATATTTTGAATCTGTGTCCCTATTCACATGGCAACTAGGACAAGAACTTGACACGTTGTATTGCCAAGAAATGTTGTTTTGAGTGCAGTGATGCATGTGCCACGGCAATTTATCGGTAACGCGTCAGCGTTTATAACGGTACAAGGGCACGAGTAAGGTTGAGTGCGGCCTGAATAGGTGATTACTCACAATGAGGGAAAGAGACGTCGTAAAGCAAGAACAGTGACAAGGCTATTTACATAAATAAACTGCCTTTATTAATAAAACACGTAAGCGCTTTTACTACTAAGTGGAAAGTAGCAATAGTAGCCAATATAGAAGTAATTTTCCAAAGCTATTGATTAATAATAAGTCTTATAACGTGACACGTAGCCATAAGCCATAATAGGCCATTTCATTCACCAGCCACAACACCCATACAATCAGGGTTTACGTGTACGTCATGTAAATATCAATTCGGCCGACTTGGCTATTACAGCCATTACTCCTCAGATTTGGGCTGTATTATTTCAGTGACTACGCGGCGCTCTCAGTACATATAACTGGCTGTCAGAATTACACGTTTAGATCCTAAAACCCAGGCTACAAAATAAATTGATTGTTCACAAGGCTTTAGAAGCCCCGTGTCCGGCTATCTAGGCCGATCCCTCCTAATATTCCCCCACGCAGACATATCCGACACCAGTGACATGGACTCGTGGAGCCCTTGGGTATACCGTCATCTTCGCAATGGACTGCATGACGGGCCACGGGGTAACTAAACGTTCGATGCCCTTTATCAAGGTTTCCCATGGCTAATAAAATGGTAAAAAAGACACATTGCATGCTTCGTTTAGATATAGTGAACCTGTGGGACATTCCTCACTACATATGTACTCTCTACACAGTCTGGAGTACGGGCCTGCGAATGAGCCTTCCTTGTGCCGGAAGGGTTACGTATTTATCGTCATGTGCCGTGTACAAAGGCAGGAATGCTTACTCTAACATGTTAGGCCTCACAATGCTTTCCGGATAACGCATAGCCTAGAATGTGGTGGAATGGGTCACGGACTAATGGCATGACGGTGCCACGTGTGGACATGAGTCTTGTTTGTCCTTGAGATAGAGTTACGCATAGCAACGTGGCCGGGAAATCACCAGGATACCCAAGACGGCTTCCGATGCCATTGAGAGTATACTCGCCATCGGCATTCTGCTCACTGCAGCTGGCCTCGGTGCCGACTCGCATACACCCCGTCATGGCTGCTTACCCGTCGTGCCGTCCCATCCCGGCCTGGGGGTGACGGAAATCCTCGGCCAGAAGCTGAATGTGCCACCTTTTTTAAGGCGGTTGAGCCGCGGTGCTCATGGGTCCCCTTTCCTAGTGCTTACTTTGGTTGTCCACATTAACCATGGTTCTGATGCGTGGTTCTGCAGCTGTCCCGGCTGGGTAACACTGATGTAACCCTGTGGCCAAATAAACGACGGACCCCCTCTTTTGGACAATATCGGCTTGGTACCGGACATGGCAGATCATGGAGCTTGGTCGTGTGCCTCCGCCGAGGTGCTTTGAAAATGCCATCATTTTTTCTTGGGAGAACCCTGGCATACAATGTTCAGATCCCCCCCCAAAACGCTAGGCACTTGCTGCTGACATCTATGAGCCCTTCGTTATGAGGGATCGATTTCCTCTGTAGTTGTTGCTTAAACCGACCCAAGGCCAGAGAATAAAGACGGACACAAGTCGCCACGATGCCCGCCCACCAGTATTACTACCAAACGCCGGGCCATAACATCGCTGCGGGCGTCGTTCTCTCCTCCATGGTCCTGATTGTCGTCGGGGCGAGATTCTGGACGCGACTGTGGTACAGGCAGGGCATTAAAGCCGATGACCTCTTGATCATACCAGCTACTGTAGGATCTCTATCCCCGATTCCAGCGACGTGCCTCGTGGGCCGGGACAGGACGAGGCGAGTCCAACAGAGACATCTGCTGACCGCAAAGCCATTGTCTGTGTTTAGGTCCTGACGGTAGCTACGGGCATTCTCATCGTCTACGGAACCGCACACCATGCCATCGCTCATCGCACCGAGATCCCCGCCGAACATGCAAAGAATCCACTGGCAGTTCACTCGGACCAGTTGACTCTGACGTCCAAGGTACGTCGACGACATGTAGAAAGTGCCGTTCGTCAATTCCTGACGTGTTGCGGCAGATTGAATACCCAATCTCGGTGATGCTCCCGGTAATATTGGGCTGCACCAAACTCAGCTTCCTGCTGTTTTACAAGCGCATCTTTGCCGCTCGTAGCAGGGGAGCCGTCAACATGGTCCTCGTCGGATTCATGGTGCTCATCGGCCTGTGGACGGTGGCGTTTTTCTTCGCCACAGTCTTTTATTGCAAGACCAACTTCTTTGCCATCTGGGGCTCGGCACTAGACCTGATGACGTTTTGCACCAAGGGCATGCTCAGGTCATTGGCGCTGTGTATATCCGACTTCATCACCGACGTCTTCATTATTGTCTTTCCGATTCCGTTGGTGAGTGTTGCAGAAATTCGAATAGCCACCCCAGCCATTAGGTGAAGCTCAAGACGAACCGTTCATGATGTAGATATATCGGTTGGAACTCTCGCCAAAGAAGAAAGCTGCGACGGCTGGGATTTTCCTCCTTGGCGCGGTGTGAGCACCCCATGCACGGCACTGCACGGCTCTTTGAAAGTTGACACGGCGTACTAGAACTGTTGCAACCTCTCTCGCGCGCATGATTACCACCATACGCATAGTCAAGGCTGGTTTCGATCCAAATGAGGATGAAGTTTGTACGTCGCCCTGGGAGACGAAGCAAGTCTCTTTTGAGCCTTTTTCTGACTCTGCAACTAGTCGTCATTACGACGTGGGTATACTGGGGGATGGTGGAATGCAGCACGGGAATTCTGGCGGCTTGTCTTCCCACTCTGTCCTTCTTCACCAGGTCGGTCGTGTTCGAACGGCCGTGGGACACGCTTGCCAGTGCGTTTGGTACCCGGCCTCGAAGCTCTCCGGCGAGAGATGATGGTCTTTCAGAAAGAATTCGGGAAGAGGACACATTGCCATACAAGGCCGGGCATGGTGGCGCCGTCCAGGTACACTCCAAGCCAAGGCCTTCACATGACACTACCGAGGAGGCCTATGAGATGGCGAATGGACGGCCCGTGTGAAGGGATGTAGATGACAAATATCATGTTGGTAGCGGTATTAATCTTTATAAACAAAGAAATGAGTTATGATGGCAATATTGATGCTTTTCCCCTACTTGGTTACCCTGTCCCGTGTCACGACATGTACTGAGCGTGTGCGGAATCCTACCTCAGTAGCCCGCAGCTTGAACTGATTCTTTCATGTCTGGTTTCATTTTTCCAAATCCCCCCGCATGGCTCTCCCTTCAGAGGGACAATATTCCCATGTTGGGCTGAGGGCGGCTGGACCGGGCCCGGTGGAGTTTCGCCCATGCCGACTTCGTTTACGCCTGCAGCCATCAAGTCTCCCTATCCCAATAAGCACTAACACGTCGAAATGTCTTCGTCCTCAGGTAGAGTATAACATGTCTTGCTTCCCCGACACTATACCCGTCCTTTGCACGGCATTCCAAAGCAAAGCATGTCGAATTTCAGCGTCCATCGCACACGCATTGCCATCATTGGCGGCGGTCTCGCCGGGACAGTCCTGGCCAACGCTCTCCTGCCAAGGGCCCATCTTGACGTGCACATATTCGAAGCAGACGCGTGCTTTTCAGAGCGCGGTGCTGCCATTGGCCTGTCTAGCACCGCACAGTCTGCGCTGAAGCATATAATTCCCTCGGCTGATGAGCTCTTGGCCAAGGCTGGGGCTGTCCCCATGAATTCTACCCGGACCATGATTGTAAGCCCTTCACAGTAGGATGTTTGTACATGGTATCAAAGTGCTAATACAGAGAAAGGGCTCGGGCGTGGGAGCAGCATCGTTGGTCCTAGACCTCCCGCGCACAACTCAGGGCAAGGTTGTTCATCGAGGGTCCCTGCTCCGCGAGCTTCTCTCCGGCTTACCCTCCAGCATGTTACACACGGGCAAGAAACTAACGGACATGAATTCGAGTGATGATGGGATCGACCTGACCTTTGAAGATGGGTACATGGCCAGATTCGACGCAGTCGTCGGTGCGGACGGTATATTCAGCAGGGTTCGCAAACATGTCACTCGGGACGCTGGTGGCGTGTACGCTGCGTCGCCAGCAGGATTCTGGGACTGCAGAAATCTAGTCACAGTTGAAAAGGCAAGAGAAGTGCTCGGACAAGACTTGTTTCGCGTCCATCGTCAGTATGGGTGGATTGGCAACGGGGCCTTTATCATGCACGACGTCCTGGATCACGGACACAAGATTCAGTGTGTAATTTCGGGCGTGGAAGCAAAGCAGGCCAAGAAAAGAGCTACTCCTTTATCGAGGCATGACTTGAACTTGGTGCTAAAAGATTGGCTCGATGGCCCCATTGCCAAGGGCATGATCGAGGTACGTTTTTGAAGGCTCTTGTCTTACCAACGGAACGGCAGCTTGGGCCTGCCCTTGAACATGGTTCTTTGTTATTGCCCTCGCCCAAACCACTGACAATGGAATTGGTTACTTGTTTCTAGCTCGTGCTTGACCAGGACAACCCGCAACGCTTCTCGCAGTGGGAGCACAAGTCAACACCGACATATAGCAACGGCAGGACGTGCATCATGGGCGACGCAGCTCACGCGACGACTCCTTGGCAGGGTTACGGACTCGGCCTGGCCATTGAAGATGCCGTCATTCTCAGCACCCTGCTGGCCGAGACGTCATCTTGTCGAGGTATCAACGCTGCCTTGCAGGCATATGATGCCGTGCGAAGGCCCAGATGCCAGATGCTCATTGACTCGAGCAGGGGCACTGGAAGAATTCTCTGCGGACAGGATGGCTGTGCAGGCCTGGAGCCCGGGCGATTGAAGCAGGTGCTCGCTCCGCGGTGGGATTTCATCCACGGCCTAGATATAGAAGCTCACAAACAAGACGCGTTGGGTGCGCTGAAAGAGGTACAAGCATCGACGATGGAATGAAGCTGGCTTGCAAGATTCCGCAGCGTCAACTAGTATGCCAAGGAATATATATCCGCGTTTGCTGGCCTTTTGGAAAACGTGACTGGACATGTCTGGTGCGTGTGAAATAGCACCAGTGACAGCAACCACAGCACGAGCATGATGAAGAGTAAGAGTACACATATAGTATTAGTAATATTAGTGATGTCAGTAAAGGAAAAAATACTAGAAGTAGTCTGGTAATAGCAGTAGTAGTAGTACAATCACGCCAGTTATGCTGTATGCAATCGCTATGCCTCCAAGCCCTTTTATCCCGGGGCCCAGTTCGTAAATCCACTCGCGGCCGTCTGTCCGGCAAAATACAACTCGCCCGTATGTACAACCTGCAGCGTAGACGACTGCGACACCCTCCCGCTCTCAAGATCACTCGGCGTCGGGGCCATCTTCTCCGTCGCCACGCCGTGGTCTTCCCTCTTGACACTCTTCTCCAGCAACTCGGCGTCCTCGAGCACGGCCGAGTTTTCCACCCCTACCACCCCCTCGTCCACATACCTCATGGGCAGCGGCGACGAAAACTCCGTATACTTCCTCCTCTTATTACTCTTGGCCATGTCGGCGCGCATCCTCGCCGTGTGCCACTGAATCCAGTACATTTGCTCATGCTCCCGCAGGTACCGCTCGCCGTGGAAGCTCTGCAGCACCACCTCGCGCGAGAGGAGGCCGAGCTTGCGCCGGTCCTCCGTCTTGGCGTACATGCGCTCGTAGAGGCGCTCGACGTCGTCGGGGGTGATTTCCTCGGGCAGGCTCAGGCTCTGCGTCTGGTCGTCGCCCTCGACAAACTTTGTCCAGGGGCCGACCATGCAGAGGATGTTGAGCTGGGCGCGGGCTAGGGCGACGGGGTCGTTGGGCGCGACGACCTCGCCGTACCGCTGCTCGGCGTCGTTGGGGTCCGTCATGACGAGGGCCGTGGCGCCGACCTCTGTCGCGACAATGGGCACGCCCGCGAGCGCCGCCTCGCCAATGGCCAGCGGGAGGCCCTCGGAGATGGACGAGTTCATGAAGATCCACGCGTCCTTGAGGACCTCCTTGGGCTTGCCGAAGCCGGCGAGGATGACGTTTTCCGACAGGTTGTTCTTGACGATGAGCTTGGCCATCTCGAGCGCGTACGACGGCTGCCGGTCCTTGGCGCCGTACACCATGAGCCGGTAGTCCTTGAAGCCGTAGCGGTTGACGATGATGTCGGCCGCCAGGATGGCCGTCTTGATGCCCTTGATGAACTGGACGTTGGACAGCATCACGGCCGTGGGCTTGCTCGTGCGCACCTTGTCGATGGGCTCGAACGAGTCCATGTTGCTGATGCCGTTGACAATGGGGTCGATCTTGCGGCTGAACAGGTTGCGGTTGCAAATGTTGCCCCTGTCGCTGCCGATTTCCGTTTCCCACATGCTATTTGATTTGATGGTTAGTTTTCCCCAAGTCACGAGTGTACACGTCTACGAGACAGGACCCATCAACACTTACGGGTTAAACAGCGAGGTACACGGCGTGATGACATCGGCGTGAAAGTAGGACAGGCGGCTGGCCAGGCGGATGCCGTGGAGCAGCATCGACTGCACCGAGAGCGGCAGCTCGCACTGCGCCGGGCTGATGTTGAGGCACGACTCGCGCCAGAGGATGGCGTGGTCCCAGATGCCAAAGGTGACGCCGCGGCGGTATTTCAGAATAATGCCCAGCAGGCTGCTGATGCCGTGGTGCGTGCTCTGGAAGACGCGCGGGCACTCGTCGGGGATGCGCACGGAGAAGATGAAGAAGTAGGCAATGTAGATGCCCAGCGCCTCGCGAAAGTCAAACAAGGTCGGGCGCGCAATGTCGAAGCACTCGGCGGGATCCTGGATGTTGGGGTCGTCGTACGACACGAGCCACGCCTCGACCCAGGCCTCCTCGACCTGCTTGGACGACCACGTCGTGTTGTAGTCCTTGCTCTCAAAGTATTTCGACATGGACAGCATCACGTTGGTGCAGGTGGCCAGCGTCGCGCGCGTGTAGTCGCGGGTGCGCGCGCCCTTGACAAAGGCCTTGAGCAGCGGCACAAACACGCGCGTAATGTCTCGCTGGACGTCCGTGTCGCGGATGTTGTCGTCCACCTCGGACTGCAGGATGTTGTCGATGAGGCCGTGGTTGGCCGTCTTGCCGTCGAGCCCCCAGAGCGGCAGCAGCTTGAGCGACTGGACATTCTTCTCGATCTGGAAGCGCGGGATGCCGTACTCGTTGGCACACTCGGCCATGACGTGGTTCCGGATGGTGCCGTGGCCGTTGACCAGGTCGCGTCGGCAGTTGGACACGCCGCCGGGCGCCTCGGGCCAGCAGCCAATGTCGTTGACGATGACGGACACGCGGTCCTTGGTGTCGCGGTAGCAGTCCTGCGGCCGGTTGGTGACCTGGTTGGCGTCCTTGCCGAGTCCCATGGTGTACAGGTCGGCGGACCGGATGGGAAGCAGGCAGACCTCGGACACGTCCGTCTCGAGCTCGATGGCGGCCACGATCTGGTCAATGTCGTCGAGGGCGGCCCGGGCTGCGTCGAGGTTGCCGCCGTCCCGGGCGCGCCAGTACGTCCGCAGGATGGGCTCCTCGCGCAGAATCATCTCGTCCATCCAGCACGCCGTCACGGCATCCAGGTCTCCCTTGAGCCAGACGCTCCAGAGCTCGGTGCGCGATCGCCAAGTTGCCACGGGCAGATGCACGCGCCTCGTCCACCACGCCAGCGAGCCTATGCGCGCCATCATGGACAGCTTCGTGCTCGCAAACTGCCTCATGATGTTGATCTGGCCCACGCCGTGGTGGATGAGCAGGTCGTCCACGTCAAACAGGAGATTGCGCGGCCGGCAGAGGAGCACGTCCTCGTCGGGAAACGCCTTGGGCACCACGGCCACAATCGTCTTGTACACGCCGTCCTCGACCAGATACGTCAGTGTCTTGGGGTCCCGGCGGTGGTGGTACTCAATCTCCGTCATGTACGTCTTGTCGCCAATCACTCGCACGATTCGGTGAATCTTCTCCGACGGCGCCCAGTTGTAGTCCTCCTCGTCCCCCTGAATCGAAGGCTTGCCCCAAAACACAGACAGCTTGTTGTTGGACGACCGATCCAGCGGCTGAAAGTCGGCGCGAAGAATGTCGCTGCTGTTCTCCGGCGTCGTCTTGTAGTGGTACGAAAACACCAGCGACTCCGAGTTGAGCATCATGGTGCCGCTCTCCAAACGGCCCTGCTTGTCGTAGAAACCCAACGCCCGGCTGTTGGAACTGAAGACGGCTCGGGAGATGGGCCACGAGCGCCTCTTGGCCGAGTCGTAGTTGTATGTAGAAGTAGTCCCGTCTCGGTCGGTTCTGCTCGCCAGGCGCAGCTTGTCGTCGTACGTGGCCGTGAACAAGGGGGGCTTGTCTTCGGGGGCCTCACGCAGGCGCCCTTCAAAGACTTCCAAGACCAAGTTGCCATCTTGGCCGTCTCGCGCAAACCCGGTGACGGTTTTTCGAGACAGTTCCACCACAATCGAGTTCTTTTTAATAATGCGCAGTGCGCCTTTCTGAGTGAGGCGGACGATTCTGGCGGCCGAGGGCCGATGATAGACCAGGAAATAATAGATCCAAAAGTTCCTCGCGGCCCAGCAAAACTTCCAAAGCCGGAGAATGATCCAAATTATCGGCCGCCTAAAGTAGAGCCACCCAAGACTGTAATACAGCTCACGTTCAATGTTTGATCCGCCGCCGCTTATCAGCGCCACCCATCGGGCAAATGTGACGGGAAGGGCGGTAACGCGTCGAAAGAAGCCGCGCACGAAGCCATTCGCCATGCCGCTGGGGATTTTGACCGGTCTCAGCTCCGCCGGCGGTAAAGAGTCTTTAAAGTCCATCGGCGGGCTCAGATCCGCCGCCATGTTGCACCGCTGCTTGCAGGCGCGAAAGATTTCCAGGCCGAGCTGCAGATGGAAGTCGATGGTTTCCACGTCGACGTCCTGGCTGAACTGCCAGTCCTCGTACTCATAAGACGATTTGACTTGCCGCCCGGTAATGCGACAGACGATGGCCTCCCTCACGCTGGGGGGCAGAGTGTTCCAACTAAGGTCGACATTGAGGTCGAGGGACAGGCGGCGCAAGAGCTCCGAGTTTGTCTTGTCCATGGTCTGCCGGAGATTCTTTACATCCGCCAGTGCCAGCTCGAATTGGATGCGCTTCGACATGGGCGTGGTTCCGTGGAGAAAGTGCTCCGCGTGGACGGCCTGAGAGTGCGTCAGCTCGCCCTCGACGCGGGCCGTGTGGTACATGAGAGACTCGGCAATCATTTGCGCCAGCTGCGTTTGCCATGCGGGCAGTCGCAGCTCGTAGTCGCCAAAGAAGCCTGCGGTGATTTTGAGCACGTCGCCATCCCTTTGGCTAAACGAAAAGAGATGCTGCAGTCCCGCGTCGATGAAGCTCTCCCGGTCCACCACGGTGATTTCGACCAGGCCGTCCTCCCAGGCCTGGAAGGCTGTCTGGATAAACTCGCTCGCCCACGAACAGGCCTTGGACGTGGCGTTGGGCGTCATCAAGCTTCGGACGAGAATGTCGTCAATCTTCTCGCTGAGAAACGAACCGTCGCCGTGCTTAAAAGACGGCCGGGGCGTCTTGACAAAGCGCCGAATCGATATGCCGGTTTCAAGACCCGGGTCCGCTTCAAGCTTGCGCTGGGCGTAAAACACGTCCTTGCTCTTGGAGAATTGGAGCGCGGGTGTGGCCTGCGAAGGGGCGAACCAGTCTTTCCAAGTCCAGAGGAGGGTTCCAAAGGCCGCCAGCAACGCGGCGATATTCTGCGCCACGACATCAGAGTATAGCCACCCGGACGTCTTGGGAGCGGCATGCAAGACACAGCCTGCGATCAAGCCAACGATGGCGGAGCCAAGAATGATGAAGACGTGGCCGTGGACGTTGGTGGTGAAGCACCGGTTGAACTGGAACAGTATCACGCCCGTGTAGCCCACAATGTAGAGGTAGTAGAGCAGCATCGACTCGGGATTGTCGACGAGAATCCACATGAGAAGAGTCGTAATGCCAAACAGGATGAGGAGTCTAGCGAGGAGTTCCACCAGCGCGATGCCGAGTTTCTGGTGACGCACCCTCTCCCACTGGTCGGCAACATCCTGCGCGTGCCGGTAGTCGACGAGCTTGTCCTTGGACAGGGTGAAACGAAGAGTCCAGTACTTTTGCAGCGTCAGGTCCAAGACGACGACGCCAATCAAAAAGTACAGGACGCAGAAGCAAATGGCGTACCGAGCGCGCGAATCTGTATAGATGCTCCGTCCGGGGTGCCCGCCGTTGCTCATAATGATGCCCACCCACCGGTCCATCAGCGCGACGAGAAACAGGCCCAGGTTCTGCCCCAGGTCAAACTTGGCATCGCGGAAGAGCATGACGACATTGTGCTCCTTGAGCCCCCGGGCCAGCTGCTCCTGCTGCTTCTTGGACTCGCCGAGCTGCGTGTACCAGGCGCTGCTAAATGTCTCGGGCAAGTTGCCGTCGGGGTTGGTCTTCTTGAAGAGCCAGTCTATATAGGGCATACCGGCGGCGACGCGCTTCACAAAGGCGTCGTTTTTCAGCTCGGCGGCCTTGTCGTCCCGGCCACGTCGAAAGTAGCAAGTAACCGCGTCGCGGAGGGCCTCTTGGGCCATCTTGCTACGGCCATCCGACTGCTCCTCGGCGCCGCTGCCTTTTTTGGAGCCGAGTTTCGACTCGTACCACGTCAGAATGTCCTTTTCCGCAACAAGAGGGATATTCTTCATCCACCCGTTCCACTCGTGGCATAGCTGGCGATACTGGTACAAGAGGAGCAGAATGGTCATGTAAGTAATGGGAAGGTAAATGGCAAGGTCGTGACCGTTGACAAAGGTCGTCACGACGGGGGATATGAGAAGCACGGGAATCGTCCGCCACAGGACGGTGCGCCCCGAGGTCATGGGACTGCCGTGCTGGTGCATCGTGGCCATGATGCCCAGCAGATTGAGGTAGGTGGTGACGGCGACGACAAACGCCACAAAGACGAGGCCGCTGGTCACGGAGCGGGCAACAGTGAAGCCGACAAAGCCGCCGACGGCAATCAGCAGGGTCAGCATGAAGCCGCCCGACAGGCGCTGCACGTGGAAATGCGTCATGTTGTCGTACGCGTAGTGGTTCAGGTAGTAGGAGCCGGTGCTGCCCACCCAGCCCGTCACACCGGCCGTCACCAGCAGCGAGATGAGCAAGGCGTACGCGGCCGCCTCAATGTGCGCCGGGTCCATAAACGCCGTCATGAACAGGCCGCGGCCGAGAAAGGTCAGCAGCAGGACGTCGATGATGGCGGGCAAGCTGAAGATTGTGATGGCGCCCACCTCGGCGAGCTGCCTCTTCCACAGCTGGAACTTTTCGTGCGTCGACAGCCTCAGCCCGGCGGCCTGGGCCTTGTCCCCGTTGGACTTGGCGTCGCCGGGGGGCGAGCTGGCCTCGAGCGCGGAGTACATGGTCATGATTTCGTTTCCGGTTCTGTCGGCGGCCACCGGGGGACACGTCTCGAGGAAGCCCCGGTACCGGTCGTATATGATGTCGCCGAGATCGCGAGGCAACAGGCCCAGGAAGATTTCGCACTGCGACCCCAGAACCCACAGCTCGGAAAAGACGGCGGCCTGGTCGGCGCAGAGGAAGATAGGGCAGCGGTCCGTCGACTCAATGTAGACTTCTTCAAACGCCTCCCTCCGCATGGCGGTGAAGAACATGAGGGCAAACATGTCGGCGTTGACGTCAATCTTCTCGGTGAGCTCGCCCATGGTGCCAAACTCAAAGACGTCAATCAGCGCGTGCGTCAGCGCATTCAGCTTCTCCTTGTCGCCGTAAAACAGGGCATCGCGGATACTCGCGCTCATGGCCTCGTAGAGCGCCACCAGGTTCTCGAGCGAGGGCAGCTCCGTCGCCCCCGCGACGACGTAGCTCTCCAGCCGGCTCAGCAGCATGTCCTGGATGGTGATGGAGCCGTCGAGGATGCGGCGGGCGTGCGCGCGCAGCCACGACGTCTTGGACGTCTGCGTCGTGAGGCGCGCCTCGCAGAGGGCTTCTATGGGCGACCGCCAGGCGTCCTGCAGGTGCGCGACGCGCATCTGCTGCAGCAGCTGGAGTATCTCGGCGTGCGTGCCGGACTCGACAGCGCTCCGGATGCTGAGCGGGAGCTTGCCGCCGGGGGGGAGAGGCCCGGCGAGGCCTTCCAGGCGCGCCTCGAGCTCGAAGCACGTTGCGCGAGACACGCCGTGGTGGGCGAGCCAGGTGTGCAGCACGGCGCTGGCGTCGCTCGGCGCCGACTGCGAGATGTAAATGTCCAGGGCGAGGTACTGCCTCTCGTCGCGGGTTCGGGAGACGCCGAAAAAGTACGAGTTGCCGTCGGGGATCTTGAAGCCCGTGTCGAGGCCCCTGAAGACGAGGACGCTCTGCGACTTGAGGCCCGTGACGAGGTCGTTGATCAGCCCGCGGCACTCCTTGGGCTCCGTCAGTTCCTGGAGGGACTTTACCCAGCGGTGAATCTCGGCGCCCTTGACGGCGCTCAGCAGCTTGAGCTCGCGGAGGTGGCACTGCGTCTGCAGGACGGCAGAGTAGTCCTGCGCCGACGGCTCCGCGAGGATGGAGAAGCACCCGGCGGCCGACAGCTCCGTCCCGTCGGCGGAATACTTCCAAAAGTCTGTCCGCTTGGGCGCCTGCTGGAGATAGTTGGGCGGCTGTACCATGACCACCTCCTGTTCCTGCAGGACGGTGAGCCACGACGGCAGAGGCTCGTGTTGCAGCAGCAGCGAGGCAAAGGGCAGCGCGGCGTCCACCTTGCTCAGGGACAAGCAACGGAGGCCCTCGGCGACGGTCCCCTTGCCGCTGCCGCCCTCTTGGTCGAGCTGTTCCGGTGCTGCGGCGGACACATGAACCGTCCTCAGTTCAGAGCTCCAGCTCTTTTGGATCTGCGCAGGTGTTAGTCACGCCTCCCAAGGCACGCAAACTTGCCCAGTGCTCACTCACCTCTGTCACGACGCCACGCCGCAGATACTCAAAGGCGCTGAGGGTGTAGGTGGCATCCCGGGGCGGCCGCTCGAGCTTCATGCTCGGGTCGGCAAAGCCGTGCTCGACGACGGCGCCAAAGTGCTCGGCGAGCTTGACGGCGCGGCGGACGACGGAAGGGTGCGGCCGCGTCTCCCACAGCTCCGAGAAGCCGATGAAGAAGCCGGGCTTCTGGCTGCGCTCCGTGGCGCACCGCACCATGACCTCGCGGAGGCGCTTGGCCTTGAAGTAGTCCCTGCGCTGTCCGTTGGGCAGGATGCACGCGTTTTCGAGAATGACGCCCGACGCGTACTGCAGGCTGAGCGAGTCCATGTCGGGCGAGTCGTGGTGGCAGAGCACCAGGACGGAGACGTCGCAGTGGTGCAGCCGCTGGATCAGCTGCTCGACCTGGCTGGTCGGTATCGTCGACGAGGGCCGGAGAGCCAGGCCGGCCAGGTGGTTGCGGACGCAGCTGCGGACCAGGTATTCCGTGGTCGAGGTGATTTCCAGCGGCTGCAGCGAGGCCGGGTCCATGTCTTGGAGGTTGACGTAGGCCAGGTTGGTGACTTCGTGACACGCCGTGCCCGTCATGCTCGACCCGTCCCATCCCTCGTCGCCGCCCAGGTCCCCGATGGTGAGCGGGAAGATGGCCAGGTCGTAGTTTCTGTCGGTCGACGGGCCGACGTCGACGCTCTCGCGCGTCTCCATCATGGAGTAGACCTTGAACGACCTGGTCGACTCAAACATGACCAGGTTGGGCGCTGGCGGGATACTCTGGTATCCCGATTTTTTCCTCCGCAGGCGCTCTCTACGACGTCACTTGTTAGTGTTGCTCTATTATTTTTATTTTTTATCATTGTTTTTTTTTTTTTTTTGCCATCTCGACAACTTACACGAGGCGCTTGAACGTGTTGGAGAACCATGATTGCCGCGCAAGCAAGACGATGAAAAGCAAAATGGGAAAAATAAGAGAGAACCCCCCAACGGCAAGAGTCGCTTGTTGATACCATTCCCGGAGGAGGGTGTGCGTGGGAATGGCCGAGTTGCAGTACACGGCAAAGGTCGAGTTGCCGCATTCCTTAATGGCCGGGTCGTTGGACCCAGGCTGGAAGAACGAGGTCATAATACCACCATGTCCAGCTCACAATGCCCCCGTTGGCCGCCTTGCACCATGTGAGCATCAACAGACGATTAGATTGAGAGGACAGGCAGCTTCGAAAAAAAAAAAAGGTCCAAGTGTATTGTAGAAACAGACCGGTTGACAGGTCTTGTTGGGGCAAGGAGGAAATTCAGTCCCTTTGGCCCGGGCGAGACTAGGCACCTCTTGGACCGCCAAGCAAACTGACGGCGGCTTGCTCAGCAATGGCAAAGGACCGTGATTTACACGCGTGTCGTCGAGTGCAACGCCGAGGTGGCGGCATGCAACCCCCATATGTTCAATGTCCACGTCGGACGTTTCCAAGCCGATCCCTGTTCGACCCCTGGCCTGCAGTGGCGCAAATTGCCAGGGTCTGGGGGCCGCAAATCCCGATGCAAATCCAAAAGGGCGCCAAGTTATATTTGGAATCGCGCGTCAGGTGCCAAGTAGCCTGTCCGGCCGACCAATCTCACTAGTCCGGCCGGTGGCCTGGTTTATTTTTTTTTTTTTCCTTTCCTTTCAGCCGCAACGTGCCTGGCTGATTCGCAGCCTACATAAACGGGTACCGTGCTACATAGCCAGGGATGACGTGAGTCGACGCTCGACGGCGCTGCCCCAATAGGAGCCGGCGCCTATCCATGTTGAAACGCCGCATGCATAGTCAGACAAGCTTATACGAGAAATTTCCATTTTTTTAAGCATGAAAATAGTACGCTGGCCGTTCGTAATAGTCAGTACCGTACCACGTTTGTCAGTTACGGGGAGTCTCTGTGTGTCAGGTTGAGAGGCCTTTTTTATTGCGGGTTCGTCGAGCAGGCGGTGGCTTGCGTTGCCGTTTGGCTCTTGGGCTTCTCCGCGAGAGGGCAAAAGTTAGTTCCGAACTCAAAGGGTCTAGGCATACGGCATGGGATGGCAAGAGGAGCCAATGCAGCATCTGTCATGCATAGGAGCCAGCTAGTGGCACGGATGCCATGATTGCGTTTCTATAGGACGAGGCATGCAATCTGGGCAGGCCGTTTCAGCTCCGGCCGACGTTTCTGTCACCTTGGAGTCGTATGGCGTCAGCTCGGGCTCGCAGTTTGCTGCCTCGACTGTGCGCAGGCGCGCTTTTCGTCTTTTTTCCCACGGCCGCCAGTGTCTCCTTGGTTCCCGGCGGCACACTAAATTCAGACCAGATATAAATCCCGTCTTGGCCAGATGGTGCCGGAACCCATACGAAGCACCTCGCTGCCACGCACCATCCCTTTGCCATGCCGTCCTTGTCCCATCCAGAATCCCTCCCGTCGTCGGGGGGCACGTCGCTGAGTTCTTCACGTCCCAGCACGCCTGATGATGGCGAGTGTCAACACGGCCACGACGCCGACCAGGTGGTCCTGGTGATTGGCGGCCTTGGCTTCATCGGATCACATACAACGCTTGAGCTTCTCAAGGCGGGATACAGAGTCTCCATTGTGGACGACCTCAGCAACAGCTTCAAGGTGGCCTTTAACCGCATCAGAGACCTGGCAGTCAAGCACCACGCAAGCAGGGGCACCAAGATGCCGTCCCTACAGCTACACACGCTCGACTACCGCAGCCACAGCATGCGCAGCCTCCTAGACTTGTATTCAGAAAGCAGCGGCAAGGCGTCCGAGACGGACGCGCAGTCTCCTCGCGGCGCACGGCGGTCCCGCATATCGGGCGTGATTCACTTTGCGGCCTTCAAGTCGGTTTCCGAGTCCATCACGCACCCCGTGCAGTACTACCAAAACAACGTCTGCGGGCTCGTCAACCTCGTCTCCCTGCTGGGCGAGCACGACATCCGCAACCTCGTCTTCTCCTCGTCGGCCACCGTGTACGGCTGCAAGGCGGACCTGGGCCGGCCGCTGCGGGAGGAGGACCTGGTGCACCCCGAGTCGTACGTCGACGACAACGGCGCCGAGGTGACGCCCGCGTCGTTTGCGAGCCTGCAGAGCCCCTACGCCAGGACCAAGTTCTTCTGCGAGGCGATTCTGGCCGACATTGCGCGGGCCGACTCGGCGTGGCGCATAACCTGCCTCCGATACTTCAACCCGATTGGCTGCGACTCGTCGGGCCTCCTCGGTGAGGACCCCAGGGGCACGCCCACGAACCTCTTCCCCGTCATCACGCAGGTGCTCACCGGCGCCCGCGAGCACCTCGACGTCTTCGGGTCCAACTGGGACACGCGCGACGGCACGCCCGTCCGCGACTACGTGCACGTGTCCGACGTGGCGCGGGGCCACGTCGCTGCGCTGGCCGCCCAGGCCGTCGAGCCCTTCCGCACATTTAATCTCGGCTCAGGCACAGGCACGACGGTGGCCGAGGCCGTGCGCAGCCTCGAGAGGGCCTCGCAGCGGCCCATTGCCGTGAGGCTCGCCGACCGCCGCGAGGGCGACGTCGGCTCGTGCGTCGCCTCCAACGAGCGCGCCTGCAGAGAGCTGGGCTGGGAGGCCAAGGAGAGCGTCGGCCAGTGCGCCGAGGACCTGTGGAACTTCGTATCCAAGGCGCAGGCCCCGACGTCGTAGTCTGGTCGAGTGTGCAAGTGTTGAGGAGCCGGCGCTTCAGCCGCATCAATGATCCCTGGAGTACAGTGCCGATGGCCACGGGCTTGGCGGGCAGGGATCAATTGATGTGTTGGGCTGGTGCCAGGAATAGGTAGTAGTACGTACATACATGTAATAGGGCATCTGGTCGTGGAAAATCTGCATTGTGGAGACGGTACCGAGTTAATAGAAGATCTGTTTTGAATTCAATTCCCAAGTTCACAAGTACAATACCAACGACATGTGGCGTTTCCCTTGGCCATGACGTCGTGCACGACACGCTGGGCTCCGTCCCCAAACGTCGGGTCCCTGGGCCATCCCGGAGCGTTGCGCCGTTTCCAGCAAGTCCAGGTCGTATCTGGCCCAGTGGCGTCTGCTTGTTTCAGGTGGCTCGACGAGTCTAAAAGATGATGCAGCTGGTGCGACATGCAGAACCGTCCATGTCGACTTGCGGCTGCGCAGGGCCACGCCTGGATGAGGTCAATCCAGGTGGGGTCGTTGCAGAAGTCTAAAGGGTGGGGCCCATCGGCACTTTTGGTCCCTGTGCGCCGCCAAACAGGTCAGGGACCCACCTCGGGCGAGCGCCTCATTGCCAAATGAAATCGCGTTCGGTGAATTAGCAAATGAATTAAAAACATGGAATTATATAAGCCGGCCTGGGGGACAATAAACGGCCCCAGAGCGTTCTTTGCGCCCGGACCACGGCTTGGCGTCATCAAATCGCAAGGGTCTGGTGCGCTGGCAAGTGGCTGTGCGTGCATGCAGCAATTGACAATTGAACATTGAACCAGTCAATGACAGCACACACCTACCTCGCCTGCAACCAACTCGCAACTTGATTGAACCTGCGTCCTGCGTCCTGCTCGACTCCCCCATCCATCCAGTCCACGGCGTCAAAACAGCAGTCAACATGGCCAGGCCGTTCCTCATTGTGCCGCTGTACATGTACCCCCTCCCGACGGCGTGGGAGCCTCTCCTGGGCGCGGCGCGGACGCACCCCGAGGTCAGGTTCGTCGCCATTGTCAACCCCAACAGCGGACCGGGCCCGGACGCCCTCCCGGACGCGAGCTACCTGGCGGCGCTCGACGCAATGCACGCCATCCCCAACATCTGCGCCGTCGGCTACGTCTACTGCAGCTACGGCAAGCGCCCGGCCGCCGACGTGCGCGGCGACATTGACCGGTACGCGCGCTGGAACCAGCACGCCGCCATCGCCCTCGGCGGCATCTTCTTCGACGAGATGCCCTCGGACCTCGCGCACCTCGCGTACATGGCCGGCCTCGCGGAGCACGTCAAGACGACGTGGCGCCAGGAGACGGGCCGCGACGACGGGCTCGTCATCTACAACCCGGGCGTGGTGGTGCCGCGGCCCTTTTTTGCGCACCCCGACTACGTCGTCGTCTTTGAGCAGTCGCATCGCCACTGGGACCAGGACGCCGCGGGCCAGCAGCGCCTGCGCCTCGCGGCCGACGAGGTGCGCTGCAAGACGGCCGCCGTGGTGCACTCGAGTCGCGTGCAGGGCGGCCAGGTGCGCGACCTGACGAGGGGCTTGCTGGCCTGTGGCCTGACGGGCATCTACGTGACGGACGAGCAGGACGGTGGCTACACGCAGTGGCCGGCGGTGTGGACCGAGCTAACCGCCGCCGTGGCTGCCGAGTGCTCGGAAAGTTGAGACGAAGAGTTCTGGTGGGCTAGTGCAGAGTAGAGATTGGCGCTATTTGTTTCTCTGACGGCCATGTCGCCTGAAAGAAGGTGTGTGGCTTGAAGACTCGACCAGTGGTAGTGGTGGTGTGTGGTCGTTTCAATGTTGGGTGCGAAATTGGCCCCTCGTCTGGGACACCGCACGGTTTCCCCTGGAAATGAAATGTGGCTTGAGAATCGACTAGTGTATTATAGTCTGGCATATAGTTTCGGGACAAAGCGGCCTACTCGTCTTTTAAAACGGCTTCCCCTGAAAAATATATAAATAAATGTCTGGTGGCTTGAAGAATCGGCTAGTAGTATATAGTCGCGGTACAAAGTAGTCTACTTGACTCGTCTTTTAAAACGGTCTCCCTGAAAAATAAATAATGTCTGGTGGCTCAAAGAATGGGCTAGTAGTATATAGTCGTAGCACAAAGCAGTCTACTTGACTCGTTGTTTAAAACGGCTTCCCCTGAAAAATAAATAAATAAATGTGGCTTAAAGAATCGGCTAGCAGTAATAGCTACGATACAAACCAGTCTATTCGTCTTCTAAAACAGTCAAGTCTCCCCTGAAAAATAAATGTGGCTTAAAGAATCGGCTAGTAGTTACAGTGCAAAGTAGTCTACTTGACTCGTCGTTTAAAACAGTCTCCCCTGAAAAATAAACAATGTGGCTTAAAGAATCGGCTAGTAGTAATAGTAACGATACAAATTAGGCTATTCGTCTTCTAAAACAGTAAAGTCTCCCCTGAAAAAAATAATTACGTCCGGTGGCTTGTTCCTAAAACGGCTCCCCCTTGCTCGCTTGGCATGTCGCTTGTTTTTTCTTTTTTTTTTCTTTTTTCCCAAACGTCTGGTCGTTCTGGAAAGCAGTTTGTGGCTTGTTCCAGAAACTTCCCCCCCTTTCTCTGCATCAGCTAAAGATGTCAGTCGTAAACACCTTTTGGTCGCAGTACTCTACCCAGCCGTCCAGGTTCATCTTCTTGATGACGGTGCTAAAGTTGTCGGCGCCCCGGGACTTGCCCCTGCGCGAGCAAATGTCCGTCGACACGGCGGAGCTGACGCCCCTGGCTGCGCCGGCGTCGCTCGGGTACTCAATGTTGAAGACGGGCTTGCCCGCCTGGATGAAGGGCGCGTACGACTCGCACTCGCTGTTCTCGACGCACTGCTCGTTGACGGAAAAGGCCACCACGTCCAAGACGTCGTCGATAATGTCGGCGGCGTTTTTGAGGCCCGTCGACATGTTGTACGAGGCGGCCTCGTTGGCCAGGAACTTGACAAAGTCGACGGCCTGCTCCGTCGTGAGGCCCAGGCCGTTGTCGTTTTGCTAGTCATGGCAGGTGAGCTGCGTGTCTTTTTTTTTAGGGGGAGTAGTATTTCTTGACTTACGTAGCCGTCGACATTGTCCGGGTCGATGGCGAGGCAGCCCTTGGAGGCGGCGAGCTTGATGCGCGCCTTCATAATGTCGCGCACCGTAGGGCTCGACACGTTGAGCCACCTCTCGCCGGGCCAGTCGTCGAGCGGCTTTCCCATGTCGGCCTGGTCAAACTTGTCCTTGTCGCTGCGCCAGTCCTCGTAGGTGCCCGCGCTGAAGTAGCAAATGACGCTGACGCCGGCATTGTGAAGCTTGACAAACGACTCGGCGTCGTTGTCGAACATGTCGAGGTCGTAGGCCTCCATCTTGGGCGTCACGTCGCCGTTGTCGCCCAGCTTGACGGGCTTGCTGAGGATGATTTGCCACGTCGTGCCGGCCTTGGGCTTGTAGATGGAGGTTCGGTTGACTCCAGAGTCGCCGCCCGGTGGTTCCTGGCCATTGTCGCCGTCGTCGCCGCCTTTGCCTCTGGTCAGGCCGACGCCAAGGCCGACTGCCAATGCGATGATGATGAGGGCGGCCGCAATCGCGGCGGCAATGATGAACTTTTTGGACCGCCACCACGGCGCGCGGGCCGGCCGCAGTGGTTTCGAGGTGTCTTGCAGGTCTTGGTCCATGGCGGGCTGCTTCCAGTGCATCTGATAACAAGGTGGCCGCCGGCGTTGTTCCAGACGACTCGACGATTGACTTTGCAAGCCGCCGCGAGGCTATTATGCAGCGCGGCAGTCTGGTCTGGGCCGGTCTGGTCAAGTCAAGGCGGACTCGAGCGAAACTCTGCCATCCGAATGCCCCCAGATCGCCCCACCGTGGCCCACGGCCTCGATCGCCTTGGAGATGCCAGCAAAGCCAAGCGGGCTGGGGTGTGTCTGGGAGCGTTTGGGGCTTTGACCATGGTTCACAAGCCCGTCCAGGGGGTTCAGCGCCGGGATGGCCGTGCCATCGTCGTACCAGCCGATCCAGACTCTGGGAAGCGCGGAGGCCAGGACAGGGGTCCATGCCAGACACGTCTCGCCTCTTTATCCCGGTTGACTTGTTCTCGGACGCACCAGTCAGCAGTTTCCGGTGAAAGCTGAAGGGTCTGACGGAACTCCGGATGGACACTTGGATGTGCCACAACTCGTATTTGCCTTGTCGCATGATTTTGCCAGGCCCTAGCCAAATCTCCCTGGACGCCGAGCAAGCTAATTAAGGAAGCATACATACATGCTTTGTTTTTTTTTCTGGGCATGGGACGCCGGTTGTGTTTATCTTGGTCTTGGCTGGGTTGTCGTAAGAACACGAGAGAGTTTTGTTTCGTCATGCCCTTCAGCCGCACGCTTCCCGTAGCACGCCGTCGCTCATGAGAATTTTGCAGACGCATTTGATTGTTTAAGAACAAAGAGTGTCCGTGACCCGCAAACCTAAAACCACTGCTCTCTTATTGGGACACTCGCCGGTCGTCTGCCTTGGACTAATAATTCAGCTTGGACACCAGTTTGTAAAGAAACCGGTTTCTCAAGAACAACAAGGACCACCAGACCGTTTTGTTGTTTCCCTAGCACAAGACAGCACCAAGCATGCGGTCCGGTATTGTTGATGCCCTCACCAGGGCCGCTTGTACCCTCTGCCTGCTGGGCAATATCCTCCCAGCTGCCGCCATCACCGTTGGGAGCACCGTCTTGATCCTGGCCCGCGATGATGCCGAAGCCAAGGGCGCGGCCATGGGCCTCGACGGCTATGGCATACCCTACCAAAAAGTTATATTTCCCGCCGGGGGAGCAAACCTGCCGGTTCTAAACTCTTCGGCGACGCAGGGCAACTTTGGCGGCATCGTCGTCATCTCCAATGTTGCATATGATAATAATGGCACCTTTGCCAGCGCCCTTACGCCCCAGCAGTGGGCTCAAATAAACAGCTACCAGTCCACCTTCAAGGTGCGCATGGTTCGAATTAATGAGTTTCCTAGCGCAGAATTTGGTGAGTTGCGCGGGATGCAACGTCGTTACTCTGTCCGCTTCGTCCTGACTTTTTCCAAGGCACCATCGTGGCCAATACCGCTGAGCCCGGCTGTTGCGGAAGCAATACCGAGCAAAAGATCAGTCTCACCGATATTTCCCAGTTTCCCGGGGCAAATCTCAAAGCGTACGTCACATTCATCTGCCGCGATGCAACGCAGCACGTTCACGCGCACTGCACCGTGCCCACCTGAAACATGACATTTCTATTTTCTTCTTCTTCTTCAAAAAAAAGAGATGTACCGGCAGCTAACGAGTGCAAATAGAAATGCCGGCGTGTCTACGCAGGGTCTCTGGCACTACCCGGCCACCATCACAAACACAACCACGACCAAGGAAGTGGCGAGCTTTGAGGCGGCCGCCGGCTTTGCGTCAAAGACAACCGCTGCCGTGGTGCATTCCGCCAATGGCCGCGAGCAGATGGTATGGTTCATCAGCTGGGATCCTACCTGGTCTCAGTCCTCGAGCTTCTTGCAGCACGCCTACATTCACTGGATGACGCGCAGCTTGTTTGTTGGCAAGCGCCAAAGCTACTTGAGCGCCCAGGTTGACGACGTGCTTCTGGACACGGAGCTTTACTACCCCCCCAACACCACCTTCAAGATCCGACCCGGGGATCTGGATGCCCATGTCGCTTGGCAAAAGAACCTGGCTACCCGCCTGCCCGCCGGGTCCGACTTTTGGCTCGAGATGGGCCACAATGGCAACGGCAACATCATCGGCGCCACGGCAACGACAAGCGGTGAAACGACTTGCAAGCCAGCCTACGCCGTGGACTACACCTCCCCCCCAGATACACCTCTCGAGTTCATGAAGCCGCCCGGGACCGGCGTGGATCTCTGGCCGGCGGAATTCGTCAGCTACACGTGGTCGGCCACCTGCTCCAAGCTCGAGCCCCTCGGCGCCTGGTTCACCAACACCAACAACCTCAACGCCTTTGCGCACGTGTCGCACACGTTTTCGCACGAGGAGCTCAACAATGCCACATATCACGACGCCACGCGTGAAATCTTCTTCAACCAGGCCTTCCTCAAGTCCGTGGGCATCGACCGGGCGGCGCGGTTCTCCCCCAAGGGCATCATCCCGCCCGCCATCACGGGCCTGCACAACGCCGACGCCATCAAGGCGTGGACCGACAACGGCATCATCTACGTGGTCGGCGACAACACGCGCCCCGTGCTGCGCAACCAAAACAGCGTCTACTGGCCGCTGCGCTCGACCGTGCAGACCAACGGCCGCGAGGGCATCACCATTATCCCCCGCTTCGCCACCACCATCTACTACAACTGCGACCTGCCGGCGTGCACGCTCAAGGAGTGGATCGACACGTCCGGCGGCTCGGGCGACTTCAACAACCTCCTCGACAACGCGCGCGCCGTCAACACGCGCAACCTGCTCAGCCTCCAGGCCGACCCGTACATGTTCCACCAGGCCAACATGCGCCAGATCGACGTGGCTCCTCTGACAATCGGCTCGCAGACGGGCAAGCAGTCCCTGATTATGGCCTGGGTCGAGACCATTGCCCAGGAGATGACGCGCCTGACCAACTGGCCCTTGTTGTCGCTCAAGCACGACGACCTCGCTACTTACTTCCTCAACCGGATGGCCCTCGATGCGTGTCAGCCAAAGTCGTCGTATACGTACTCTGCTGACGGCAAGACCATTACGAGGGTGACGGTGACGGCTAACGGAAACACGTGCAGTGCCCCTGTGCCCGTCACGTTTCCTGGAGGCATTGCTACTACTACGCTGCTTGGGCCTCTGAAGTCGACCAAGGTCGGTAGTGAGCCGCCGATTCTGTGGGTGACGCTCTCTGGGAGACCTGTAGAGATTCTGCTGTGGACGCCGGTCAAGCTGTAGATTTCGTCTGGTCGATAACGTTTGTAAAGATGACGCCTGTGTTGTAAACCCGTCGGGGCTGCGGGAAAACATGGAAGCATTCAATGCAAATCTCGGCCCCTTGATAGAGGTCGGATTATGACTAGTACACGCTGACGGGCCAGTTTCCCATCCGATTGATGTCTGGTGTTTTTGGTTTTTCATTCATGCATATACTAATTTGTGCTGATGGTGGCACCATTGCATTGCTTGCGACGTGGGGGGTATGCTGGACTTGCATGTGGTCACGGTGCATGATGGAGTAGGCTGGTGCATCGGCGGGGTTCGAGATGTGTGTCAGGAAGCATTGACTGGAGGAAAATAATTAATCTGTCGGTCCTTTGTGTGGTTTTGGTGGGAGAGGATGGTTTGGTGTACTCTGACTGTTGATCTTGGGTTGAAATTATAGGCTAGTCTCTAAATATAAATGTCTGGTACACTGAATATTTGAGTTTGCTTAACTTTAGAAAATCTATCTCGTGTTTTAGTGCTGCCTAGATGCTGTTTATTAAATGTCGACATTTGTGTTTTTGGGTTTGGATGTTATTCAACTTGCTGAAATAAGGGTACCCTAGAGTCAGAACCTGAATTCGTAATGCTGCCTTTTACGACTTGCAGGAAGAAAAACGTATAAAGTAGTATATAAGATTAATATTTACGGTAAAAGTATATATTTATTATAAATATATTAATTTTTAGTTATTCTACTTTATAATTAAATAAAATTATATATATAATATAAGTATTATATAAGCGTAAAATCTAAAATAATATTAGGTTATATTAAGCTAAGAATAGTAAGAAACTAGAAAAGTAAACTATTTTAGTATAATTAGTACTATATTATACCGAAAACGTAAAATGCATACATATATAATATTAATAATATTATATAAAAATTAAGCTAAATTTAAAATTTAAAAGTAAAAGCTTTAAGTAAAGGGATTATAATATAAAAACTCTTAATTAAATATTAAGAAATTTAGCTAAGTTTTAGTTTTATTATTATAAAATACTTAAGAATTAAGTTCTTTCTTAATTCCTTACTTAATTATTTTATAACCTTAGGCCCCCCTTATAATAATAGCTTTTAATACTTTTTAATACCTTATAATACCTAAATTCTATAATACTAACACCTTACTTATACCTAGCTGGTACTATACCTCTACCGTGTAAAATTATAGCACCGTGCTATAGTTTTTTTTTACGGTGCCGGCACTATACTGGATTTCTAATACGGTACCAAGGCCTCGCAGTAGCCCACTACTGAATGCACTAGACAGACCTGCCAGCTGCCTTTAAGGCCAGACGTTGTGCTTCGCTCTTAAAAATGGATATCCTAGAGGTAATTTATAAATAACTATGTCCTCAAAGAACCATTGCAAGCATGTAAGTTTGAGATGATATGATAATCACCCCACAAGTTCCCGAATTAAGGTTGTGTGGCGCAACACTTTGGCCTTTTATTAAAGAATCTCATGAAACGCGAGGAAGTAGTCACACAGACATGCCAACTAACGGAAATTACGGAATTCACAAACGAGTGACACAGACGAGCACCACACCCCAATTCCATACAACGAGCCAATTCAACCATCCTGCCAAAAGGTGGCAACAAGTCCCGGCTGTGAAGCCAGCGCTTGCTGTGGAGCCTGCCTGTCTGGACTAGTCTAGAGCTAAAGGTTCAATGTTCAGTCCACGATATTGCTGTAGCGATTTCTGTGCTGCACTCTTCGGACAAACTTGGTCCCAGCTACATATGTACTCACTAAATAGTCACTGCCCCTTCAGGTTAGGCAGCTCCGGGGCACGCATGCATTCGTTACGATCCCACCTCTTGGGCTGTTGGGCCGGCGACTTGAGCCAACCCGCGGCAGTGTGCGGTGTAGACGGAACAATGGTCGGAACCAGGAACGCGGGGAGCGCTGCGTCGACAGAGTGATTCCACGGCGCGTATAAGAGGATCACTGGAGAACAAGGGATTCCTCGAATCGCTCTGGGATTGCTAGGGGAAACATGTGCTCCAAATGGCATAGGGAACTATACACGGGCCTGACTTTTAACATCTCTGATTTGCCCAAATGTTATCTGTAAAGGTCTCGGATTCTGCTGCTGCTTTCCCAAGTACCCAGAACCAGTGCTTACTTGAGTTGTAAGCAGCTGAGTCCAGCCACTTCAATAAGCGAGATACACAGCGTCGAGTTAAGAAGCCCAATAACTTGTTGAACTCCCCTTCTTTTCTTTGTCTACGTTCTCCTATTGTATTTAGATAACTACTTGTTCTTATCAACAGAGGCAGCTTTTATCCGACAACTTTGCCTCTCCTGTACTCTGTGTGGATTCGCTTTTGCTTACATATGTTGGTGTGGGCGACCTGTGCAGTACATCACGGTAAATGGAAGTTGTGAGCAAATCAATGTACTATAGGGCGCCCAAATATCAAAGGGGAACCCATGTATCAGTCGCCAGCTCGCACCATCTTTAGATGGTGCTGGACACCAAAATAGCCAGCACACCACAATAGCCACTTTTCCAACTTGTCCCAGTTCAAAACCCTATACGTCAACCAGCTCGTCATCGTTTGACTAGTTGCTATGGAGGCGCGAATTCAGGAAGCCCTTCGATACATTGATGATTTTCCCGATGCGAAGGTGACCCGAGTATTACGGTACAAGAGCACGAATAAGGTCGAGTGCGACTTAGATAAAGCAATTATTCACAAGGAGGGAAAGAGAACCCCTAAAGGGAACTCTAACTTGAGCGTTTTATACTATATTTATAAAGTGAGACATTTATTTAACAGGCAGATCACATGATTCCCTCACAATAGTCAAGTAGGCAATAGCACAGGCCCAGGTGCAGCTGCTAAAACATATCACAGCTTCAATTTAGAGTCCTTTTAAGAGAAACATGTCCTTCAAGTTCTACCCCACGGCAAAATTCCTTCCGTTACCATACAGGTAAAGCCTTTTTGGCATGTCGAGGTAATTTCCGTCGCATTGAAAGAAGAAATTCGGTTTGTTGCTAAACTTTTCTTTCGTCTTGTCTCTGTCTCTGAGCCACGTCTGCAGGTGTCGCCACGTCTTGACGTCTGCAGGGAGTTGCTCATCCAGTGGTAGCAGGTCCATCAAGTCATCCAGCGAGCGGTCACCCCCCTGGTAGCCTTGCTGATAGCTAAGATCTTCAATCGCAGATATACGGGAACTGTATAAATGAATAAAGCCATCAACTATCGATAACTTTCGGACTTTGTCATTGGACGGGTAAACAATGCGATGGGTATCATACGGAACCCAAGTTGCGATTGTGGACGACTCCTTTAGCTCGGTTGTAATATATCCCGCGTGATATAAAATTTCTGACGACATAGCTTTAGAGTTAGACACTTCAAGGACTCCGGTTTTCGAAATGTCTATATACGAGTTATGGAATCCATGGGCACGGATGCTTCTCTGTGGAGATATAACAGCCAGGAACAATTCCAAGTAGTATGGATTCATTCCGAATAATGCAGCAGCCTCATGAACTTTTCGCACCCTAAAGTCATTAAACGCAATATTCTCGTATGCAGTTGATGTTATCAGCCGTGTCCAAATCATTTGCCAAAAAAGAAGGGTTATAAGAAGTGAGCCGGCAACAATGAGCCCCGTATAATTAAGCTCGCTGCGAGCCGTCGCGGAGCTGAATAGTGCAATTGAAGCCGACACAATGCCATTGAAAGCCGTAAGGTTTGAGCTTGCAACTGCTCGGCCTATGCGGTTCAGACAGGCGGATAATTCACCGTCCACGACGCGCACCCGCTGCGCATATTTGCCATTATGGGTGTTGAAGAGGAAGTCGTTCCTCACCGCAGCAGGACCGTGGCGGAAGTCAACTTTGCTAGTAACAAGCAATTTGTGAAGCAGGATACGGAGCTGATACATCAATGTATAGCAGAACCGTACGCATGCCTGATAAATAAACGCGACAAGGTTTGACTTGGTACTAAGAGGTTCCTCCTCCTCCTCGCATTTTTGGATGGTTTGTACGCCTACTGGTAAACCGTCTTCTTCCAGTCGGATGTAAATCATGTTGCGGCCTATAGGCTCTGGCGCCCTTGGATTATGTTTGTTGTAGTCCTCGACATTTTTTTTGTACTCTTCAAGCGCTCTTTCATGTGCCGCTTTATCGCGGGGATCTCTAACAGTCCCTGACCATGACACCTCTCTGGCTTGGCTGATTTGTGTTGCGTCAAAATAGGCTGCTGTGAGCGTTTTGATTGCCCCTGTAGTAACGTAATAGCCTTTATCCTGGTCTTTGTGTGTTGGATTTTGAGTAGAGTCGGCTGCGCTTGTTGAATCTCGGCTAGATTTTGAGTTACTCTCCGATATGCGTGTCGAAGTTGGGTCAAAGTCCGCCCCAAGCCTTGAAACTGTAACAAATCCGATTGAGTCACTGTAGAAAGTTACAGTCGAGCAGTATGGAGGTACGAATCGAGTGACAACGTCATAGCCTTTTTCCTTGGCTTTCCGGAAAACTTTCTCGCAGCACTTATTCACATCCGTATCCTTTAGCTCAATTGGGTCTATAACGGCCTTAATCTCCTTGACCCCTAAGCGCTCGTCGGAGAGGTCGGCAATAATTTGATATTGTACTTTTGGACTCAGATTAGAGGAACGGAAAAGGTAAATAATAACCTGCTTATATGCCTGATTAAATTTAATCTCATCTTCATGGGTTGTTTGATTGGAGTCCGAGCTTGAGTTAGTGTTATGACTTTGGTTCATCTTGTCGATATATTGTAGTATGTTCTGTGAGAGTCAGAGAATTATTTAAATCAATTTGTTGAGTATAATACCGGGAAGAAGTAGCATTATTTATATGCAAACCAGCACCTGCGACAGACAAGTATCTGGGCCGAGCGGAAATTGTTTCGAGTAATCGCAGCTACTCCAGTATTAGAAAATCAGCTCGGAATTTTATCGCCATCTCATGATGTGCTAGAGTGCTGGCGCCAAGGTTCAACCCAGCTAACAGATATGAACTGATAATATTCCTTTAAGTTGGTGTGTCACTTGAACCCACTACTTAACTACCTTATTTTGCACGTCGCCATCTTTACCCTGTTTATTTCTTCGTAAAGTTCTATTTGCTATATTAGTAGGTATAAATAACTATGCTTAATACACGCGATTTGATATATATATATATAGTGCCGTCTAACCGAGAATCCCAACGTTTTACGCCCGTGCATTTACAAAATAGTATCACGAAGCCTTTCACCTTATAAAGTTGGAATACGGATACTGTTAGATACCAATAATAATCCGAGCTAATTTGGCCGAAACTGTAACCGGGCTATGCCTAATACAGTAATTAGGGCCCGTTCCCCATTAGGCGCTTGGCCTTGGACAACGGGCTCGAAAATGGCAGAGTGGGGTTGGGAAAGAAAGATGAGATGCCAAAATTTTAAGTTTGGCGCCTGGCATTGCACCTTGAAGTCTAGATCAAAGCGTTTATTTTCGTAAGGTTAGGAGGCTATATGCTTTATCATGTCATACGATGTGACTAGACCTACAAATGTGCCTCTCCTTTTCCGAAGCATAATAATGCATGCTAAAGCAGACAACTGCCATGTCTGTGTTTCAGTAATAGCCACCTGGACGCATCTCCACCGGTGCGCAAGTACAACGGCGCTCTGTGGCGTCTTGGTGGCGGTAAATGAATGGGCTGTCAAAGACTAACATAGTTCAGCTGGGCAAGGAATGACTCAACGTCGGCTCTGTGAGACGCCAAGATTTAAGATTCAAGGATGGTGTAACTTCTTGTTGGTCGCTGGCGTCAGGAGGTGTAATTTTGTCATGTGCATGGAGTTGTTAGTTCATCTTTTGCATATCAGTAAGTGCAGCGTTATATTATGCTGCTTTAGGTTCTATAATCGTGGAGGATTCTGTAATAACGCCGAGCTCAGCGAGTCTATTATCGATTTCATACAGCGACAGTGAGAACACGTCGACGTTGTGCTTTTGGGCCAGTGCGTGGAATGCGATTGCGCCGACCCTTCGGGGGCCGGAATCATTCCGAAGCTTGCAATAAAACTCGGACTATCATTACCTTAACCAATAAGAAGTGGTAAAAGTGTGGCGTCCCTAGGGCGTTGGCGCCCGTATCAATTCCTATCAATTACCTTTCGGATATTGTCGGATAATGCCTCCGTCACCCAAATGATTCATGGCGCAACAGTTGAGATGGCACCACTCATTAACAGAGTTAAGAAGTAAGTTTGTCCTGGAAACTAGGACCTGAGAATCTTTCGTCTTAAATCTCAGTCTATCAACCTCTGGCAGGAGATAGTCCGCGAACTTCGTTCCACCATTCTATCTACATCAAACGAACATGGATAGAGCCAGTTGCCCTCGAGGAAATGCCGATATGTACGGATTCGGAATCCGGCTTGGGTTTTATATTAAATTTTCGGTTGTTTCGCTCTGTAGTCAAATGAAATTACACGCATGATACAAGTATCGTGCAAGCGTAAAATCTAAAACAGTATTGGGCTGTATTGGGTTTTATATACAGTGGCTCGCAGGCGGTCTTGCTTCTGTTCTCGAGCTCGAATCCGATGTCACATCTAGTAGATTTGGACTCTTGTCATTTACCCTTGCCACGTTTATGGCCGGTATTATTCAGACTGCCACCTCAAACTTGACCATAGTTGACATTTACGTTTTTACTCCTTTGCTTTGGCTATTTTTATATGCTTCTTCCAATAACTCCATACAAGTTCATTTCGCAGAAGGTTCACAAACTCCCTGAAGACCCCACCAAATGGACGGTTGTTGTGGCAAGCCCAGAGATTGATATCATCCAGCAGTGTCTGCTGCTGGCTGTGTCTGGGTTTAAGCTATGCTTCTGGATAGTTAAGGTATTATGGGTAAAACCTAACCAGAATGTCCAGACTTCGGCTTTCTTTTTTGTCGCTTGACGCTTGACGCTGAAGTTATGCGAGTTATAAATATCGTTTTTGATAGCTGTATGGTCCTACTACTTTTCAACCGGCTTCTTTCTGCAATAAGCAGGAAGCTGCCTGGGCGCAGTGTAGCAGCTCTCGACGTGGATGAAGCACGGGTAGGACAGACAGATTGGGGAGTTTTCAATCCACAGATCTCAGTTTTGGGGGATGATAAGTAAGATATCTCGTCTATTACAATTATTGGCACTGAAAATCTGCTGTAGGAGAGGAAGGCATGCTCTATATTGGGTTGACGGCTTCAGGGTATTCGCATCCTGCGTGGTCATCGTTGCGACTGAGCTCACGATGAATTGGAACCATCCTCAGGACATGTATCAAGTTGGGTCGGCTGGCCATATGATCCCAGGCGACGAGACAACTTTATTGGACACATAGCGACACATGAGAGGCAGCAGTTTGAGGCGACGTGTCAGAGAAGTGCCCAACCGTTCGATTTAATAATTAGGCGACTAGTTACAGCCCAGGTCTGCCCATTCTGTGGATATCGGCCTGATGAATAAATTCGTTTATTTAGAGGGCCCGATGACAGCTCAACACGGCAGGCTGAGGAGGCAATGTGAGCCAAGGGTCAAGTAACTAGATGTCACCATGTTTTAGTTGTGGCAGAGGGGGCCAACCGCGACTGCTGACTGCCGGTTTTGCAATATAAATGCTAGGCTAGGAATATAGCCAAAAAAAAAATCTTGTTAAAAAAAAGGCTAGCTAAATAAACAGAGAATATGATATCGGGATACCTGCCCTCTAACTTTTCTCAAATTCATCCAATTGCGTCTCGATGCCAGAGATGGCATCCGAGTCGACCAACGGAACTTGAAATTTGTGCCTGGCACGAAATACATAGTAGCCCAGACCAAACACCATCCAACCACCAAACACGACGATGGAGTAGTTCATGTTCTTTGCCGTAACAGGCATTGTCGTCGGGAACAAGCTAAATATGATGACGGTAACCATCCATATAGCACCCAAAATGTTCAGTGTTATGCCTGGCACAAACCCAAGACGAAATCTGCCGTACTGGTGCGGCTGCAAGTTCCACCGGCCGTGGAAAAGCATATACAAGACTGGCAATAGATACGACAAGTACAGCCCAATGATTGCCATGGACAGGATGGCATTGAATGCCGTGTCATTACCCAGGTAGATGAAGCCTAGTGCGAATTGGAGCGCAACCACGGCAAGAACTGCGTTGAGCGGAATCTGCAGACGGGGACTGATGTGAGATAGACCCTCGTGATAAGGGGTCGCTTGATCGCGAGCAAATGCCCAAACGGTTCTCGACGTCGACATGATGCCCGCAATGGTGGCCGCGACGGCGATTAATATGACCATGATGGACATGATTGTGGTGCCGACGCGTGAGTTGGTAGCGTCAAGGTAGATCTGCATGAACGGGAAGCCCAAGGGCGCATTTTCCAGGTCCGTAGATCCAGCCGAGTACAGCAGCACAATCACATAGGCCAGACCCATGACGCCGTTGACAAAGACGCTTCCGACCATGGCCAGCGGCACGTTTCGACTCGGCTGAGGCAACTCTTCGGCAAGATGGCACGCCGCATCGTAGCTGCGCAGACAAGCAAGGGTCAGCAAATATTGTCACGGACAACGGGGCACAGCGTCTTACCCAAGAAATGGATATACAGCGCTGACAAGCCCGACGAGCCAAGAGATGCCGTCGCTGCCCCAGCCGCTGCTGTTGACAAAGTCGAGAAACACGACTTGACTGGTCGTCTTCTTGGCCATTGCCGCCAGCGTAGCAAGTATGCCGACGAATCCCGCAATGTGGATGATGCCTGACGAGGTTAGATTGAAAACAAAGAACCGACTTGGACGTCTTTTAGACATGGACACCCACCTGAGAGGATGTTGACATGAGGCATCACCCGCATGCCCCAGATATTCAGGATGGCGGCATAGGTGAGGACGCCCCAGTACAAGAACATTCCTTGCCATCGCAGCGGGATGTAGCCGTCGTCATTCAGAACAATCAGCGCTTGCGTCTGCAGGCCCGCAGCAAACGCAGCCGACGACGTCAAGATGATCTGGCCGCCTACCGAGATCCATCCCGTCACATAGGCGGCCGTCATCTTGCTGGGCCCGGGGCACAGCGCAGCAACCCAGTGATATTGGCCTGTAGCGAGCAAAAGGTTGGTACATATGTAAATTGCCACCGCAACTATACTGAAAAGTGCATCACGTACCTCCAGCAGTGGGATAGATGGACGCAATCTCGCCAAGCGAGGCGGCCACGCACATGGAAAAGAAAAACGACAAGACGCTACGCTTGGTCAGCCCTGTCAACGCCTTTTATTTTTTCGACTCTATCCGTTCCATTGATCTTACTAGTTGTAGAAGAGGCAGGGGGAGCCACCGCTCACCAGCGCGGTCGCAATCACGGTCGAAGTGGCCTCCCACGTCGCCATCAGGCAGATGCATAGCGAGACCAAAGCCGGCAGGGAGAATCGCCTCTGGAGCTCCTGCTCATGGCCCAGCTGGGCAAGACGCCGTTCCTCATCCATGGTTTCTGCGTACAATGCGGTCGAGATGAAAACAAAAAAAGAAAAAAAAAGAAAAAACTATTCAGACGCTCTAAACAACCGCGCCGTGTAGATTGCGCTGGCTACTTTTTTAAAGGAAGCGTCGACGGTAGAGGTGCGTTGGCGGCCATCACGACGGACAATTTGTGGTGACGATCAAACTAGCCTCGCAAGGATGCGGCCTAGGCTCAATCAGGGCATCCGCCTGGCGACGAAATACAAGGTCGATATCGCCATTGCGATAAGGGAGCGGTTGCTGTCTGTGTTTGTGGCTGGACATGGCCGGCTGGCGCTCCCCGCCTTTTAGTTTCCGATTCCGACTTCGTGGGGAGTCGTGTCTGAAGGGGACTGTGGCAGACGCCGTTTCACAGGGTTGCCAGACTATTGATAATCAAAGATGTGACAAGGCTCGGGGTGAGTGCGAGTTGAGGGGCGGCTTTGACACACGACCGAGTATAGACTATAGAGACTGAGGGCTGCAGAGTGGCGGGCCATGCCGGGTAGCCTGCCAATGGGATTCAGATTCCTGTCATTAACGTTGAAAACTAATACAGTCGTGACGCCCTTGCGACCGTACAAGGCATCATGTGGTCAGGTCCATGGTACTTGGGGAGAGTTGGGGAGAGTTGGGGTAAGTGGTTGTTGAGAGGCTGTGTCGCTGGAGAGCAACCCGGAGTGGCCCAAAGTATCAACTGGTGCTCGATTCAACCCTTTATCCATGTCCTCTTGTTAACTTTGGAATTCAGGCCTCTTCCTCTTTTTCACATAGCTGTCCAGGCAGGTCTCCAAGCACCGGCCCCGGAGTCTTGGCAAGCGGGACATGCCAATATCGTGGATAGGGTATTCAATATATTGACTCGGTCGGCTCTTAATAGGATCTTGCATACATGCCAACTATGACAGCCCCCATCTCGACAAGGTACCAAAGCGTCACCGGTCGATGTAGAATGGAGTCGTGAAACCCCCCGGCTCCGAGGCTCGGGCACCAGGAGTCGTCTGGAGACGTGCCCCGTGCCATGTCAACCCCAGAGTCCCAGACACGGGCAATTGGTCATCAGCATTGAATGCCGATGCTGTGGATACTCGACTGGGGAAAACATTGCCACGATGATTGATTGATGGCAAATCCACTCGGAAAACAAAGGCCGTGTTCCGAATACCCCAGACGCTCGACTTCCCCTCACCAAACTGACGCAGGTGGCCGCCTCCGAGCCTCATTTAATCAACGCATTTGTTCTCTCGTCGACCTGCAATCCTCTGCAATAGGCAATTGATCCATTCGAGCACTGACAATGTCTGCGGTCCCACACCCCCTTTCTGACCTCTCTGCGCAAGAGTCCAACGCCGCCAGAGATGCCGTCCTGAAGCTGCATCCCGGCGCCGTTATTGACTTTCGAGCCATCTATCTGCTCGAGCCCAACAAGGCCGACGTGCTCAAGTTTCTGGCTCTTGAGCACGCCGCCAAGCTCACGCCCGACAGCCCTCGCCCTGCCCGTCTTGCCCAGGTCAAGTACGATGTCATCGGGGGCTCGGAACCCACGCAGTACCACGAGTCTGTCATCAATGTCGCAACAGCGCAACGGGTCAAGCACACGGTTGTGGGCCAGGAACACCATGCCAGTCTGTCCATGTAGGTATTTGCACCGCCCCGTTGCCAGCAGACGCACCGGCTCACCCGTCCGTGTAGCTATGAGTTTGAGAGGGTAGTCGAGGTTGTGAAAAACTCCCAAGTCTTCCAGGAGAAGCTCAAGTCCATCGAGCTGCCCGAGGGATTCGAGCTCGTCGTGGAGCCCTGGCCGTATGGAGGGCCCGACGAGGCCGACGGCCAGACTCGGCTCTTCCAGGCCCTGTGCTTTGGTCGAGACACGAGGAGCGGGAACCCAGACTCCAACTTTTACGCGTACCCGTTGCCCTTTATCCCCATTGTAGACGCGAGAAAGAAGGAGGTGATTCGCATCGACCAGCCCGCAACGGGCGGCAAAGGCGACGCCCTCAGCGGTGCCTCGCACAAGACGCAGGTCCTGGATCACTGCCGGTCTGCGGAATACGTGCCCGAGCTCATCCCGGGCGGCACGAGAAAGGACGTCAAGCCTCTGACCGTGGTGCAGCCCGAGGGCGCGAGCTTCACCGTGTCTGACGAGAACCTCATTGAGTGGCAGAAATGGCGCTTCCGCGTCACCTTTAACCCGCGAGAAGGCGCCGTGTTGCATGATGTCCGCTACGACGGGCGCGACGTCTTGTACAGATTGAGCATCAGTGACATGGTAAAGACGCCCAGCCCCCCCTTTTCTCATCAAATTCTTCATCCAAGCTAATCAGTACTGCCCGGCACCATGCAGACGGTGCCGTATGCCGACCCCAGAGCCCCCTTTCACCGCAAGCAAGCATTCGACTTTGGCGACGGTGGACTGGGAAACTGCGTCAACAACTTGACGCTGGGATGCGACTGTCTTGGAGTCATCAAGGTAAGCCGCCGCGTCTTTGCATCCCGCTCCCACCCCGTCGTCCACAGCTGCTGATGCTTCTTCCCGCGCAGTACTTTGACGGGCTTCTCACCAACCCAGACGGCTCAGCCCAAGTGAGCAAGAACGTCATCTGCCTTCACGAGCAGGACAACGGCATCAACTGGAAGCACACCAACTGGCGCACGGGGCGCGCGGTAGTCACCCGGCGCCGCGAACTGGTGGTGCAGTTCATCATCACGCTCGCCAACTACGAGTACATCTTTGCCTTCAAGCTCGACCAGGCGGCGGGCATCACGCTGGAAGCGCGGGCCACGGGCATCGTGTCCGTGGTCAACATTGACGAGGGCAAGACGGCGCCCTGGGGCAACGTGGTCAACCCGGGCACGCTGGCCCAGAACCACCAGCACATCTTCTGCGCGCGCATCGACCCGGCCGTCGACGGGCACGGCAACTCGCTCGTGCGGGAGGAGAGCGTCCCCGTGGCCGTGGACCCGGCGACCAACCCCAACGGCAACCTGTACGAGGTGCAGACGACGGTGGTCAAGACGTCGGCCGGCATGGACCTCGACCCCATGCGCAACCGCGTCTTCAAGGTGCAGAACCCGTCGCGGAGGAACCCCGTCAGCGGCAAGCCCGTCGGGTACAAGATCACCACGCCGCCCACGCAGCTGCTGCTCGCGGCGCCCGGCAGCATCCAGTCGAACCGGGCGCTCTTTGCGCGGCACCACCTGTGGGTGACCAAGTACAGGGACGACGAGCTGTACGCCGGCGGGCGGTACACGCTGCAGAGCCGGCTCGAGGTGGATGGGCTGGCGGACGCGGCGGCCCGGGGGGACAATGTCGAGGATGAAGATATCGTGGTGTGGAGCGTCTTTGGGCTGACGCACAATCCTAGGGTCGAGGATTGGCCCGTCATGTAAGAATCCCTCTTCCCCTTTACGCTCACTTTTATGTGCAGGCGGCTGCTAACTTGACGCGATTCAGGCCCGTGGAGATGCTGCAGGTGCACATTACGCCGTCTGACTTTTTCACGGGCAACCCTGCCATTGACGTGCCGTCCAGCTTGGACAGCGGGTCGAAGCTGGCCAACGGGGAGTGCTGCAAGCCCGCCGCCGTCAATGGAAACGGCGTGTAGATGGTGTAGATGGTGTAGACGGGGTAGAATTGGTTTGGAGTCACGTAGGCTAGTTGTGCGCGCATAGAGTAGACCAATCTTCAATGTTGCATCGACATGTACAGACTGATGAAGCCTGTCACCACATGGCCAGACGTGGATCGTGCATGTGTATTTCACTCGTGAGCAGTCACAGGGCATCTTTGCGCGAATTTGTTTGCGGGTAGATTCCTTGGCCCCTGTATTTTGTTATCTACACATGTAGTCGCTTGCCGTCGGCATCACGTAGTTGTGTCCGATCGCGGGGTCAGGATGACGAGCCGCCCATGAGACGATACGTCCATCCGGCAACTTGTTTCTGGCTAGAATTTGTCAAATTTCCGCCGCTGTTTGAGTTTTAGTTTTAGTTGTAGTTTAATTTTTTTTTTCTTTTTCCGTCTCTCATTTTCTCAAGTCGCGAATCGCCGGATCTACTTCCGACGTGGCGGACATCTCGCCGTGTGGGTTTCCGAATTCCGACTCGCAGCCTCGCACTTGGAACACACGGCAGTCTCCCGGAACACATGCGCCCTCCACTGCACCAAAGGTAGCATTTAAAAACATTGAACCCACGTATAACTAAGCTGCCGAGTGCCAGAACCCCATTTCCACCGCTTTGCTCGCGCACCACCCCCCTCGACGCACAACCATGGCACCGATTCACCGCGTCACCCTGTTCAAGATTGAAAGCGAAAATGACCGGCAGCACTTGCTAGAACTGTACCGGCAGATGCCGACCAAGGCAGTCAAGGTACGCCGCCTGCTCTCCGCCCCTTTTGCAACATTACTTTTCTCACTCGTCACCCAGGATGGCAAGCCGTACATTCAGTCGGTGACGGCTGGGCCGACCAAGCCGGACCAGCGGGCGCAGGGGTTCACGTTTGCCGCCATTTCCGTGTTTGCGTCCCTCGAGGACATGGAGTACTACGACAATAGCTGCGCGGCGCATGCAAACCTCAAGGAGTTTGCGAAAAAGGCGCACTCGGGCGCCATGATGGTGTATTTGGAGAATGGCCTGTAAATGCATGTATCAAAACCCAAGGGTATAAAAAAATACAAATTAAATAAAAGCCATATATATAGTTTCAAAGCGCCAAGGCAAAAATGCCATATATACATAGACACGATGGAAGCATCACCCGTCGTCACATGAGCCCCTGCAAGAAGCGCCGCGAAATGTCCAGCCCATCGCCGCCGACAAGGTCCGCATCCAGCGCATTGTACAGCCCCGAGTCAAAGTCGTCCGGGAACTGGCTCCCCTGGCCCAGGGTGTCAAAGAGATTCAAAATGTCGTTATTCAGCTCCGTCATGTCCGGGATGTCGGCGCCCAGACCGGGGTGTGTAAGAGCGCCCGGGCCCGGACGCCCGCTCGCCGGCCACACCTGGTCGTCGTCGGCGCGGGTGACGGACGGCCGCCCGCGGACAATGTACGCCGACGACGCGTCGCTCCCCAGGGTCCCCGCCGCCGAGGGACTGTGCAAGCGGTCGCCGGCGCCGCCGTCGTCGCAGTCCTGCAGGCCCAGGCTCTTGAGGCGCGGCAGCAGGCCCCGGATGCTCTTCCACAGGCGGCGGCTGGCGATGCTGTGGCGGCTGAAGCCCCTCACGAGGCCGATGGCGTCGATGAAGCTCTGCGCGCAGCCGGCGGCGAAGACGTTGGGCGCGTGGCAGATGGCCAGGGAGATGACGGCAAAGGCGCCGAGCAGGAAGTAGTTGAAGGCGTTTTGCTGGCGCGAGTAGATGTCGGACGTGGCGTTGAGGTGCACCAGGACCTGGACCGTGTCCTGGGCCAGGTCGACGGCCGCCTTGGCCCGCGCGAGGTCGGCCTTGATGGTGGCCGCGCTCAGCAGGTGGTGCTGGTAGATGGAGATGCGGGTGAGGTTGCCGCGGAGGTAGAGGAAGGCCCGCAGCCGGTGCAGCACCCGCGGCTGCGACCGCGTCGAGTAAAACGCCCGCGGGTGACGCATCTGGAGATGGGGGGGGATCGACTCGAGCCACGTCTGCGTGCTGGCGTCGAGCGCGTTGGCAATGTCGGCCGGGATCGACTGGCACGCCGAGCCAAACGGCGGGATTGCGTCCCACAGCTTGGAGCACAGCCGGGCGTAGCCCACCATGCATTTCAGATAGGATGAGTCGATGTCCTGGTGGCGACGTCCCGGTTAGTATACGTCAGGGTTATGTTAGGGTTAGGGTTACTGGGTGAGAGGGCGAGATACTGACCGGCTCGAGAAGCGCTGGGTCAATGTCCCTGTCCGTCAGCGCAAACGAGAGGCTCGTGCCGAAACTCCACCGGCGGTCGAGGACGTAGCAGCACCAAAAGACTCTCAGGGCGGCGTGCCGCGACTGCGGATCGGTAAAGTTGTCGTAGAGACTCCTCCGCCGGTGCAGCCCCATCTCGAGCGCCTCGCGGGCCGCGATGCCGATTGTCCTCCAGGCCAGCAACTCGTCGTCGCAGTGGAAGTAGTAAATGCTCTGCGGGCGACGGTCAGTCCAGCTGGGGTCTTGTCAAGTTTTTTAAAAAAAAATAAAAAAAAAAAAAAAAAAAAGAGCGCGCGAGCTACGTACCAGCATCATCAAGAGCTGGATCCCCTTGAGCTCCACCTCGGTCCTGGATATGCGCGCCGTCACGGCCACGACCGACTCGGCAATGGCGGCGCAGAGGTCGTTTTTGCCGTGCGCCTCGATGGCGATGCCCGTGGCCACGGCGAGCTTGGCCAGCCGCACGTCGGTCCACGTCAACGGCGGCTCGTGGACGTCGACCCTGGGCGCCTCGTCCAGCAGCGAGGGGTCGCGGATGACGCGCAGGATCTGCTCCGAGCGCGCCGCCAGCTCGAGGATGTTGATGAAGGGGTACACGGATTCCACCTCCTCCTCGAAGACGGCCAGCAGCCTCGCCATCTCCTCGGGGGAGCACTCGGCCCAGAACTCGACGTCGGTGGCCTCGGCCTGCTCGGGCTCGGCGGGCGACGGCGCGCCGCTGGGAGACGGCGACGGCGAGGCCGGTATGCCCATGCGCGTGAGCGACCGCTCGGCAATCACCAGGCCGTACGACGGCCGCGTGGGCCCTACGAACTGCGGGTGCTTGGGCACATTGTCCTTGGAGGTGTTGGACGGGGAGCGCGCCGCCACCACGTCAAAGTGACTGGCCATGGTGGTGCGCGCCCCGGGCGACTGGTGCTTGAGCTCGTCTACGGTCCTGGAGAGATCTGTCACCTGCTGTCGCAGCTTGGCCAGCTCATCCCCCAGCGCCTGCATCTGGTGGTTGCTATCCATCGGTTAGCATCAATGCTATGAGTCCATGACATGGCATGATATGGGACGGGGGATCGCGTCGTCCACCCACCTCTCCTCCTTCTTCTTGCTGCTCTGCGGCGTGACGGCGGCAAATACGCAGTGTACGCCGCCGGCGATGCATCGCTCACAGCTGGAGCCGTTGACCGGGATGCACTTGAGCTTCTTCTTCTTGCACTCGTTGCTTCAAACATGGTCCTCATCATCAGCGTCAACTGGTCTCTTTCTTGCCCGAGAGGGACGACGGCGGCCGCCCTGGCCAGGGTGTCTGGCAGGCACACCCGTCTACGCAGAGGTCAAACGGTCAAACGTACCATGCCACCGACGTATACTTGCCTCGCTTCGGCTTGGGAGCGGCCTCTGACGACAGACTGGGCGGCACAGGTCGCTTCGGGGGCTCCACGTCGGCCGTCTGGTTGCTCACGGGCGACGAGTTGTCTTCCATATCGACGGGCGGTGTCATTTCCGGAACGCTCTTCGGCTGCGTGGTGGCATTTCCGAGTGGGAAAAAAGCAAAGATGACCACGGCTTGCAAACCAATCTTCAGTGAATGGGTGGGACGAGGAAGTTATGCAACGCGTCTCCGCGCCTCGCCGGAACCCATTCCGGATTTCCGACCACGGCGTTTTCGCCCGCCAACGCACCCAACAATCCATCCTCTTGGCCACGGCGGGAGCGGGGCAAGAGGGTCACGTTTTGTTTGACTCGCGTTTTGAATCCTGGAGAAGGACGAGCTGAAGCGACGCTTTGCAGCGCATTGTTGCTCGTCTAGCGCCCAACCGTCTCGACTTGCTGGTGCTCCCCCGTCGGCGGTCAAGCGGCACGAGACCAGCCAGGCCGACCCGTATTGTGCGGAATCTACGCCTCCAGATCGTCGTCGACTCGTCGGACAGGCTCCCCGTGTCCCGATGCCCAGGCGGGCGGCGGCGGTTCTGGAACCGACAGGAACCGCGGCGTCCCCTCGCTGTGCCTCTGCATTATAATAAGTGACACGTCCTGAGTCCTGGCCAGGGCTCTCTCACACGGGCCCAGATCGACGTATTGAGTGTAGCAGTCTGCCGTGATCAACCTCGACGCAGCGCAGCCGCCAAGAAGCAACAGCGTCCCCTGCGTCTCCCCATCTGAAACCACCACACACACACAGTCGCGATGCTGTCCGTCGTCGGGCTGCTCTCCTTGATCAGAGAGCAGGAGCGGCGGTTTACCCTAGAGACGCTCGCCGTCACCTGTATCCTCGCGCCGCTCGTCTACATTCTCGTCAACGAGGTGATTCGCTACCATGCGCGCATAGGAGGCATGAAGGGGCCCAAGGGCCTGCCCGTGATTGGCAACCTTTGGGACATTCGAGTGAATGCGGCGGAAAAGTACCGCGAATGGGCTCGCAAGTTTGGCGATGTCTACCAGATCCAGCTGGGCAACATACCCGTCGTCGTGGTGAACTCGGCGGCGGCGGGGAGGTCTATTTTCGGCCAAAATGCGCAGGCCATGAGCTCGCGGCCTGAGTTTTACACGTTTCACAAGGTTGGTTGATTTTTTTTTTAAAAAATTTTTTAAATTTTTTTATTATTTTTATTATTTTTTTTCTTATTTTGCACAACCCTCCTGCCGCTTGCTCACAAACATCACAGGTTCTCTCCGACACGGCGGGCACCACCATCGGCACGTCGCCTTACAGCGACTCGTTGAAGCGGCGGCGCAAAGGTGCCGCGTCGGCGCTCAACAAGCCCTCGATCCAGATGTACATCTCGCACCTGGACATTGAGTCGCGCGACTTTGTGCGGGAGCTGTACGAGTACGGCGAGGCGGGCAAGACGCCGACGGACCCGATGCCCATGATCCAGCGGCTGTCGCTCTCGCTCGCGCTGACGCTCAACTGGGGCGTGCGGCTCAAGAGCCAAAAGGACAACCTGTTTGACGAGATCACGCACGTCGAGGAGGAGATTAGCCGGTTCCGGTCGACGACGGGCAACCTGCAGGACTTCATCCCGCTGCTGCGGCTCAACCCCATCAACATGCACTCGACCAAGGCCAAGGAGATGCGCAGCCGGCGCGACGTGTACCTGACCAACCTCAACAACGGGCTCGACGAGCGCATCGCCAACGGCACCTACAAGCCCTGCATCCAGGCCAACGTCATCCTGGACGAGGACGCCAAGCTCAACAAGGAGGAGCTCACGTCCATCAGCCTGACCATGCTGTCGGGCGGCCTGGACACGGTCACGACCCAGGTCGCCTGGTTCGTCGCCTTTTTGTCGCAGAACCCCGAGATCCAGGAGAGGGCCGTGGCCGAGATTCGCAAGTTTTACGACGACCAGACGCCCATGTGCGACGAAAACGACGACCAGAGGTGCGCCTACGTCGTCGCCCTGGTCAAGGAGTCGCTGCGGTACTTTACGGTGCTGCGCCTGGCGCTGCCGCGCGCGTCGACGAGGGACGTTTTGTACGGAGGATGCACCATCCCCAAGGGGTCGATTGTGTTTCTCAACGCGTGGGCCTGCAACATGGGTAAGTAGAATACCAACCTCTCTCTCATCACTGCCTGCCTGCTCACTCCCTCGCCCCCTGCAGACAACAAGGTCTGGCACGACCCCGACGTGTTCCGCCCCGAGCGGTGGTTCGAGCAGCCCGACGCGCCGCTCTTCACGTACGGCGTCGGCTACCGCATGTGCGCCGGCTCCCTGCTGGCCAACCGCGAGCTGTACCTCGTCTACATGCGGCTGCTCAACAGCTTCCGCATCGAGAAGCACGACACGGTCGACTGCCACCCCGTCACGGGCAACTCTGACCCGACGAGCCTGGTGGCCCTGCCGCACCGCTACCGCGCCCGCTTTGTGCCTCGCCACCCGGCCGCCCTGCGCAAGGCCATGGACGAGACGAGGGCCATGGGCGGCATGGACGAACTTGTTTCAGCCTGAGGCTGAGGGGGGCAAATGCCGCGTGAAACTGCCGTCTTTTACGGAACCCGCGAACCGTTCCATGCTAGGTACACTGTATGTAGTCTTGTGTGAATAATGCAACCGGCGCTTTTGCGACTGTAAAACAAGCTTAATTTGATCGACTGCTCGGCGCATTACGTGTGAATCCAGTGCATGATTTCTTTCTAATCCCATGTTTCGGCGTCGTGCGGTGAAATCCGGTGCGTTGGTGCCGGCACTTGCGCTGGTCTCAGTCTTGTCCGCACGGCATCAAACATTGAACCCGCCTCTCTCCACCCCCGACATCGACCCCAAACTTGGGCCGGTCTCGACAGGACTTGGGTGACAAGGTTACCCCAGAATGGCCAGGCGCTGCAAAGGCGTCAAGTGCCGCCTGGTCGGAACTGGCTGGCATTACCGTGACTCCAGCGTAAGGTCGGGCACCTCCAATGGGCAGTGTTTTGGTCTTGGTCCAATAATCTCCACGATGAGAAAGGGCGCAATCTCGATTGATACCGTATCTCCAGTCCCCCCAATCTACGGTGGACCCCGGGGCCTGGAGTAATCAATTGATACCAGACCGTAACCCATTCCTATCCTGTAACGGAAAGGCCCTGACTCCTCAGTCTTGTCGGAGCCGATGGTCCCCTGTGGAGCAGAAGTCGAGCAACTAGATAACAAACCCTCGTCCGGGCGGAAAACCCCAAAAAACACGTCGTCTTTGAATTTCACCCATCTAGTATGTATACCCGTGACGAAAAGAAAGCATCCGCCCCGGTATTCTGACACTCGACTCTCTAGATAGCAGCCTGAGGTCTACTGGATAGCCCTCGCAAGCATGGAGCACCGCACCGACGAAACCGACGTGCCGGGCACCGTATCTCTGGAAGATTGTAACGGCCCCCCCCTTCAAGCAAACATCTTGCCACTTATACACAGACGCAGACTAACGTGCTCTTAAAAACAAAAGTAAACAATGTCTCGGACAAGGTCGTCCTGCACCCGGTGCCGACGACGGACCCCAACGACCCGCTCAACTGGTCCTCCCTCCGAAAGACGGTCAACTACGGGCTGGTCCAGATCTACGTCCTCTTCACCTTTGTCCAGCTCGACATTGGCTTCACCGCGTGGAACCAGTACCAGGAGGAGCTGGGGCTGAGCGTCGGCACGCTCAACGGCGCCACGGCCCTCAACTACGCCGGCCTCGCCGTCGGCAGCTTCCTCTTCATCCCGCTCATGCACAAGTACGGCCGGCGCCCGCTGTACATTGTCAGCACGATGCTGCAGCTCGCGTCGTGCGTGTGGTTTGCCCGCGCCAATACCCAGGCAGACATGTGGCTGGCCAACCTGGTCTCGGGGCTCGGTGGCGCCGTCTGCGAGACCGTGGTGCAGGTCACCATCTGCGACATCTTCTTCATCCACCAGCACGCCGTTATGAATGCTGTTTATTTGCTGTTTACCAGCGTGGGCGCCTTTCTCGGCCCCGTCGCGGCAGGGTACATCGTCGACAGCCAGGGGTGGCGGTGGATGTGGTGGTGGTGCGTCATCTTTTTCGGCGTCAACCTCTTGCTTGTGGTCTTCTTCTTTGAAGAGTCCAAGTACGTCGGCGCCATTCAGGGGCAGCCGGTGGCGGACACGGCGTCGATCCGGGACGTGGTCAAGACGGACACGGACAGCCGGCACGTCGAGGAGAAGGCGTACAAGTCTGATTTCCGCATCAGCGAGGACGACGTCCAGCGGACCGAGTCCCGGAGCTACATTGACGGCAGTATCCCGATGAAGTCGTACCGCGAGCGCATGAGGTTGGTGACGCGCACTGACGAGTCGATCCTCCGGCACATGCACGAGCCGTTTCCGGTCCTGTTTACCTTTCCGGCGGTGGCGTTTACGGCCATTACGTACGGCAGCATGCTGGCCGTGTTTGCCATTCTGGTGTCGGTGCAGGCCATCTACCTCTTTAGCCCGCCGTACAACTTCTCGGCCGCCGGGGTCGGGCTCATGAACATTGCCCCGTTTGTGGGCACGATCCCCGGCGTCTTCATCGGCGGCACCCTCAACGACAAGTCTATTGTTTGGCTCTCGAGGAGGAACGGCGGCGTGTACGAGCCGGAGATGAGGCTCTGGCTGGCCCTGCCCTGCGCGATTGCCGGGCCGGCCGGCGTTCTCCTGCTGGGCGTGGGATTGGCAAATGTAGGCTGAGTGCTCTTTGCTTTGTGGGCATCTTTATTACTACGACTATAACCAGTCAATGCTAATCTACTGCTTTGCCAGGGCGTCGCGTGGCCGCTGCTCGCGGTTGGGTTTGGTCTTTTCGGCTTCACCCTGACTGTTGCTGGCAGTATTGCCTTGTCCTATGCCATGGACTGCTATCACGACGTAAGTAACTCGGCGTGTCTGCACTCGGGTGATGGGAACCGGGTGTTTTTTTTTTTTTTTTATAATATCGCCCTACCGTCGGATGACTGACTAACTGACTGCCTTTTGCCTCGCAGATTGTCGGCAGCTCCATGATCGGCATCATATTCACCCGAAACGTGCTGTCTGTCGTGGTCCTCTTCGCCCTCACCCCCTGGATCGAAAGCATGGGCCTGCAAAATGTTCACATCTTGGTCGCCGGCATCTTGGGTCTCATTCTCCTTATACCGGTGCTTCTTCTGAAATGGGGCAAGAAGGCGAGAGCGCGGTCTGCCAAAGCGTATCGAGCCATGGCAGCGCGTCAGTCAACGAGCAGGGAGCTGTAACCGGTTTCAGGGCCAAGAATCAATGGATGGATGGCACTCGCCCTAGACGCGCTGGGCGCCGACCTGGGGGGCAGCTTTACTAGACACGAGTCATTGTTCATTTCAATGTTGTGACAGAGTACGGCTAGTCGAAATAGAAACGCGCAGAGTGTGGTGTCCGAAAAGCCTGAGCGCCCGACGTGGCCATGTTGGTACATACATGTGTCAAGTATACATGTGTATGCATCGTGATGTCTGGTGGTGTCTGGTCCTTGGTCACAACCGACAAGCACTTGACGACGCATCAATTGATTTGCCATCTCGATTCGTACACTCCTGCCTCCTTGTCTCTTGACCAAACACCGGTCCAATGAAATCTGCGCCTTATCCCCACGTAATCGTTTGCATTGAGCCCGACAACGGGGGCAGGGTTGCGATAGCGTCCGTCCTTCGGAACCGCCAACATTGAATTCCGCACCAGACATCTTGGCTCTCAATGCTTGGCATTATTCAGCGGCTGTACATATGTACCCATTCTGCGTGCGACTCTCCCCGGTGGCGCAGATGCTTACCCCCTCAATTGCTTATTTGCTCCCGGTCGTTCTTAACGGGGCCCTTCGCAGACGAGCACAGCCGTCCTCATCTCGCTCTCGGGGCTCAAGGTCAGCGATGCATTAATGTGGCAGAGATAAACCCCAGGCACACCATCATCACCGGCCAATCAATACCCAGCTCATCCTGCTCCGGGCTGATTTTCCAGTGCGGCATACGTACTCGACCTCGCCATGGCTGGCACAGACAAGCGCGGGCGCGACAGGATTCGCAACATCCTCCCAGACATCTACCTGGGACGATGGCCAACCGGACGCCTCAACTCCATCACCGACGTCCCCGGCGTCCTCGTGCATACACAGTCGATTGAGCCGGATGACCATGTTCACACGGGCGTCACCACCATATTGCCGCGGCCAGACTGGCACGAGTACTCGAGCTTTGCCGGCGTCTTCCGCTTCAACGGCTGCGGCGAGATGACGGGCTCGCACTGGCTCAACGAGACCGGCCTGCTCTGCTCCCCCATCATCATCACGGCCACGTCCTCTGTCGGCGAGGGCTACCGCGGCGTCACCGAGTATGTCTACCGCCACCACCGCCGAGAAGGCGGCGAGGTAGACCTCTTTTTGCTGCCCGTCATTGCCGAGACGTACGACGGCTTCCTGAGCGACCCGGCGCGGTTTGCCGTGACGCCCGAGCACGTCATGCAGGGGATCCAGAGCGCCACCGCCGACGCCGTGCCCGAGGGCAACACCGGCGGCGGCACGGGCATGATATGCCACCGCTTCAAGGGCGGCACGGGGTCCAGCAGTCGCGTCGTCAAGGGCTACGGCGCCGACGGCAACGGGGTCGACTACACCGTCGGCGTCCTCGTCCAGGCCAACTACGGCCTCGCCGAGACGCTTTGCATCGGCGGCGTGCCCGTCGGCCGCATCCTGCAGAGAGAGGGCAAGCTGGCTGCCAAGCCGGCCGACGCGCCGGAGCCACGCAAGGACGGCAGCATCATCATCATAGTGTCTACGGACGCGCCTCTCATCCCTATCCAGCTGCAGAGGCTTGCTCGACGTGCCACTGTTGGTCTGGGCAAGGTCGGCGGCTATGGAAACAACAATTCCGGAGACATCTTTCTGGCCTTTTCGACCGCGAACAAGGTCCCCGTTGGTGATGTGTCCATGCAGTCCAAGCCTGGGTTCAACGACTTCACGCCGGCGGAGCGCGTGGTAAGCATGTCGGACAATGACACCATGAACGGGCTGTTTGAGGCGGCTGCCGATGCGGCCGAGGAGGCTATTTACAATGCCATGTTCATGGCGGAGTCGATGACGGGGTACAAGGGCAGACATGTACCGGCTTTGGATCTGGATGATGTAAGGAGAATTGTAGAGAAGAGGCTGTGAGGGGTTTTCCCACGCTTAAAAGTACTATTAGAGTGATGGAGAAAAAAAGAGGTTCCTCGTACCAATTGCGTGAAATGGTTGCAGTGGCACTGTGACAGTGAGGGTAGATTGAAGGAACTCTTTTTGGTAAAAGAGGTCTAAGTACACCAAAAAAATACCTTGCGATAGACACTCGACTTTAACAGTACAAGCAGCGGGGGTCATCGTTGCGATATATGCGGTTCCTTGGTGTACTCGTCTTTATCACAGTGGTAGGCAAGTAGTATTTGATCAGACCAAAGCACTGAGCTATTGCGCACTAGACCATGATGAACGACAGTGAATGCGAGTTTATGGCGGCTCATCGAATGAAATTGAGGTGTAAAAATATGCTATAACATACTATCAGTTTATACTTGCTGATGGGCAAACACGTTTCGGGATGGCCTTGGGCTATATTTTGCAGCCTCCCGAAAGCAGGAATACAGATACTACCTGCTCAGTTCATGAGTCATCTGTACTCTCTTGGAAACTTGCATCTTTCAACGTCCGTAATCAGGTGGGAATTAACGGGAGCTTTGAGACTCAAAACTCGGTAAACCTTGATGTTTGTATCAGACAAAGCTAAACAGGAACATATTCATTGATACGCCCCACCCCTGAATGAATCATTTATCCTTTAGCTAGAGACTGGCCATGCGTTGAACAACGTTGATATGATGAGTCAAGGAGGGCCTGTCGACATGTTCATTGATCTCATGATGTGACAAGGGTTCAGTTATGAAGGCTTGGAGCGATAAAGGGCTCAATTCAATAATAATCTCGTAGGATGTCAAAGGTCCTGAGTTACTACAAGGAAGGAAGAGAGGGGTGACCGCCTTATATACATGAAAGGAACGCCCGGGCCTAGGGTCCTTGCCCGGGCACGTGTTCTAGCCGTGTAACCAACAAGTCCTATATCGGCGTGAAGCCCCTTTGTTGGCCTTCACGATCCGTTGGGCCTTTTCCGTGTAACACATGACGCCATGCCAAAGGGCGAGTAAGCTGCAGAGAAAGGAGCGCCGAGTACTAGTGGCCAAGATGCATGGCTTCGGCGCTGGCCATGGTATTTCGTAATACAAGAGGCGGCACCGACCATGGAGAGCCCCATCAATGGAGACTACGACATGATACAAAATCGGTTGCTATCTCGTGTGCTAACAAGCTAGGCTATGCGATATCCTCCCCCTTACTAAACTTGTGCGAATGCGAATTCAAGTCACGCCAGCACGGTCTTGGGCTACAACATGAATATGCTGATAAGTGACATGTCTGGACGAGAGTGCGTGTACATTTGTGCCATGACGCACTAAATAGGCAGACCAGTTTGACAGGATGGTTGTGACTAGGAGAACCCGGCAGACTCTGAATCGCTCCGCAGCTTCAACAAGCGCAGCAGGCCATGAGAGACGACGGCTTGATGGCAACTTGTTTCCACGCCCAGATTGTGAGTTCCCCGCATCCCTTCACCACACGGCGCCGTGCACCGTCCATCAATACGGGCTTATCCTGATATACAAACCCGGAAGCAGCTCTATCGTGCGGTCCGGAGAACCGAGTAAAATGACTTCATGAATAGCAAACTCATTGCCCCTGAGCAAGACGACACTGCCCCGAGAAGTGGACGTTTTGGACGGGACACCAAACCTCCAGAGATTAATGGGCACTTTAGGCTCGTGAATCGCGTGGTACACTTGGCCGAGAACCTTTTGCTCGCCAGCGGGAACCACGACACGAATCGCCGAGATGCCACGCGCACCACACGGATGCCGAGTCCGCAATGGATCCTGCTCGTACGGGACGCGAAGATGTCGCGGCGTCCTGTCGAAGCACCAAAAGGGTAGCTTGCCCGGCTGCACGGCGCTGCCGCCGTCGTGCTGCGCCGTAGCCACCGCCCACTTGAGGACGGTGCCGTCGTCCCTCGTCCGGCCGCCCGGCTCCGGGGGGCCGTAGTGGATGGAGGCGCCGGCGCGGCGGACGCGCTCTCTCACGGCTTCGAATTGTTCCTCGTGGCCGAGCGTGTAGGCCCAGTCAATGACGGTGTTTTCCTTTTCCCGGCCCCAGCGGTGGTTCTTTCGGAGCTCGGGATCGAGGCCGTCGACGAATGCAATGAGCTCAATGTAGAAGCCGTCCTCGAAGAGAATGAGTTTGTTGGTTGTGGCTCCGTCGGCATGCGTTCCGCCGGGGGAAATGACGAGGACATGCTGGAGTCGGCTTGGTAGTTGTACGAGTGTCGCGTGAGACACGAGGACTACCACGTGGTCCAGCAGCGGTCCGGAGACGGTCTCGTTGCCCATTTGCGTGGTGATTGGAGAAGTCGGGTATTGAATGGAAGATGCTAGCTCGTCAAGTCTGGGACTCCGGGCATTGGCGCTGTGGTCCGGTGTTGTACTCCTAGGTGTGGCGAGGTGTGACAAGGTGTGACGAGGTGTGACAAGGTGTGACAAAGGCTCACTGAGGGGTTGTGAATAGCTTCAAATTCAGCCAACAATTGCATCCATCTTTGGGTTTTTAAAGTCCGTGGTTTTTTTTTTTGAATCTAGGTCCTGATTTATTACCCTTATATATACACCATGTCCTATATGTGTGTAACCTGACCTAGGTGACTGAGGCATTTAGGTCATCGCTGCCTTGGGTATCTACCTTGTATCCCCCGACTCATCTCCCTGACCAGTAGTCACCTTGTGTGTCGTGGCGATGCACTCTTTATGCACCCTGTATTGCGTTGGGCGTCGGGTGCTATGGGTAATCCGCCGGATTAGGAAGGCCTTGGCATTTATCCTATTGACACAAGGGCAGGGTAAATGGGCTTGGAATGTGTGTGCAAATGTCAATTCAATAATCGATTTTGAGTTGTCAAAGGTCCTTGATTATCCAGGAGGCCTTGAGGGACCGGCGGTCTCTATAAACCCTAACCCTAACCTGCACGTGAGGCAGCCCTCGCTCGGGGTCCGACGGCGGGCTCTCGTGATACCTTCCTTTTTTGTTCAATGTTGTCCTTTGCCGTCGATGTGACACGAGGCGGGGTTCGGAGCACGTCATGGATCCATGTCCTGCCTTACCGACCTGAACATTCCCAGAGGAGTCTTCCATCGGCATTCCTGTCATGCGCGGCAGGACTGGCATCTGGCTGTCGTGGCTGTGGTGAACCGAAAGCTGCCGTTGCGTGGATAGGGCCATGACCGGGCGAAAAACGGCTGGGACCATGGAGAGTTCTTGTGGCTTGCTTTCGCCCGCGGCCTTGTCCAAAAACATCACATTGAAGGATCCATGAACCACAACATGGCCACTATTGATCGTGCATACTTGGGCCCTGATAACGCATGGCCCCTGGCAAGAATGGCAAAAAGACATGACGGCAGCCAAATACCTCCAACACCAACCCGTGTACGATGCCACCAAGAGAGGGAAAGAGACGACATCTGGAGGCAGAGTTCCCGCTCGGCCGGCGACATCATTCTTTCCGTGATGGTGCTAGCCAACGCCATTTGCGCCATTGCCTCGTTGGGGGAAACTTTATCGAGGGAACACGGGAACTGCTTCTGCAGTGGCGACATACTCCAAGGTTGACTGATTCTTGATTTTTTTCTTCTTCAACCAGCAAAATCGGAAGCAAGATGCTACGAATAGTATATCTTGCGACAGATCTGGCCAGCCGGGTGTCGCGACAGCTCCTGATGCCGCGGGCGGCCAACGACGACATCCTCCCCCCTCTCAAGTTCAACGACAATGGCACGTTCCAGATGTCCATCTTCTCAGACATGCATTTCGGGCAGTGTAAGCGCCGACAGCAACGGTTCCATGACAGCCGCTTCAATTGTCGCTAACCCGGCCCATCTCGTCACTAGCTGAGTCCAGCACCGGTCCGGCCCAAGACCGCAACACGGTTCGCGTCATTGGCGATGTTCTCGACTTTGACCGTCCCGACCTCGTCGTTTTGAACGGCGACTTGATCAACGGCGACACCACCCACAGCCACAACAGCACGCACTACATTGACCAAATCGTCGCCCCCATGGTGCGCAGGAACCTCACATGGGCTTCCACGTACGGAAACCACGATCACAGCTCCTCCGCGGACAGCGGCGACATTCTCAAGCGGGAGCAGATGTGGCCCGGGGCGCGAACGCGCAACATGGTGACGGCCAAGGACGCCGGAACCACAAACTACCACCTCCCCGTGTACTCGGCAGCCTGTGCCCGAGACGGCTGCGCCCCCGAGCTCATCCTGTGGTTCTTCGACAGCCGCGGAGGCTACTACTTCCAAGGCGCCGCGCAGGCCAACTGGGTGCACGCCAGCGTCGTCGCCTGGTTCCGCGAAACCAATGCCCTCTTGACGAAAAAGCACCAAAGGGTCATTCCCTCGCTCGCCTTTGTCCACATCCCCATCCACGCGACGTGGGAGATACAAACCCGTGTCAAGCCAAGGCGTCACTACCAGCCGGGCATCGACGACAAGCTGGCGGTCGCGCAGCAAGGCGAGGGCTGGTGCCGCAACAACACCCAGCGCGCGACGTGCGACTACGGCGGGCAGGACGAGCCCTTTATGCAGGCTCTGGTCGATGTTCCGGGCCTCATGGGGCTCTTTTACGGCCACGACCACGGCAAGACCTGGTGCCACCGGTGGGATTCCCGCCTGCCGGGGATGGATGTCGTCGGCAACGGGCTCAGCCTGTGCTACGGCCAGCACTCGGGGTACGGGGGGTACGGCGACTGGATCCGCGGCGCGAGGCAGATTGTCGTGAGGCGGGACAAGCTTGCCGACTTGGCTGTCGAGACGTATGTGCGCCTCGAGTCGGGGGCTGTTGTCGGTGCCGTGACGCTGAACTCGACGTTTAACAGCGACTGTGACCGTTACCCGCCTACCCCGAATCAATTCACGTATGTGGACAAGACTGTCAATGGGCGTGTCAAGGTGTTTCGATCTGAATCGACGAGGTTGGGCGGTTGGGATGCGTGGGCGTATGGTTATTACGCCGTGGCGTGGGCAGTCTTTTGGCATGTACTCTTTTGAGCGGGACGAAGTTGGGCAACTTGGGCAAGGAAGCGTTGTGTCTGGTGGCACAAGTGCTGTAGCCTATACGAGCATCACTTGTGTTGTATTTGTTATAATTTGAGGCAGATAAAGCCATGCCTTGGTTGTCTGCGCGTGCAAGGTGCATATGCGTCTTGAAGCATCTCGACCGCAGGCCGCGCCGAGGGCGAGTGTAAACCAGGCCAAGATTGGGCTCAGGCCTTGCTCCAACCTCAAGCCACGATGCATTGTCTTCTCACTCCTTTAACTACGGGCTCTTGGTGCGAAACGTGTGCCAGATATAATGCATAGTAAATGTTTGTTTTGGGGTAAATTCCGTCATGCAATCGCTTCCTCACATTAGATGTTCGCTTCGAGTACAAGCAATGCGGTTGGACTTACTCGTAGGAATACCCCATGTAATTATGGATGGGATCGAGACCCGGTGAGAATCGACAAGTGTCTTGCGACTCGTCATAAGTATAAGTAGCCTTTTCTTGGGCGGGAGTGTCGGGAATATGGTCGCCCTGCCCATCACAGCCCCCTTCAAATGTGTGCAATAGTCCCAGCCAGTGACCGGCCTCGTGCACAGCTGATTTCCCCTGGTTATATCCAGCGGTAGCGCTGCCAGGAAGAGTCGTAGGGCTTACGAAGCAGCCATCGGAAGACAAGGGGACCGATTGGTCTATAAAGAGGTTGTCAAAGGATACGCACGCGCCGATTCCTAGGCTTTTGCTGGGGAATTTGGGAACAATTAAATTGAGAGTTTTGGCATCACCCCTGTGGTATCTTGCAATCATGGAGGCGCGATCTTGGTTATTTTGTATAGTAGCGTGGAAGGCATCGTTCCAAAATAGAACATTTCGCATCGTGAATGAGATATAAGATGGGCGAAAAGCGTTATTTAACGCATCGAGTTGTTTCTTGGCCACCTTTCTAAGCTGCAATGGGATGAGTATTCCTCCTGCAACAAGATGAATCACAACATACGAGCTTTTTGGGAGCACCGTCGTCTGGTGCCACAAAGTGCATGTACAAGTCAATGCTAATTGGTTGGAGTGCCTCATTTTGCCGCTTCTCCATCAAGGAACTGCTATTGATGGCAAGAGTCGAAGTTTCTGTACTGCAACGCAAGATTCCATCGTTGTCTAGACTGTCTTGAGCTGCTGCCACAAGAATGAGCGCCAGGGGTATTGAAATGATGAAGTGCATATTTGATAAAGAAAAAATTCTTGTAATACAGACGGCTGGTTGTAAGAATCAAAGGTCAAGGTTAGATGTACGGTGACAACAAATTGTACGGACAAGTTGTTCTTGGAATAGCTTTATGGAGGCCATGCAGGGGCCCATGCCCTAGGGTTAACACCTCTCCACGTTGTGACCCTCGGCACCGGACATTTTTTGAAATCTCTGACTCGGTTTGAGCTCGCTTGATGTATTTTCAGTTCATGTAGTTTCAATTTGTACAAAATAGAAAGCTGGGGTACATGCAGCCTGACTTCGTCTGGTACGTGTGGGCCATGTGAGAATCAGACTGAACAAAACACTTGTTTGCAGGAACTTGGCAAACATGCTCATCATTTGACATGTGTCATGGTTTTGAGATGATCCGAAGGCATCTGGAGTTAAGCGGCTTTGCCCTTGGGTCAGCAGCAAGGGTTGCCTGATGATTGCCGTTGCCCACCGCCACATCCACAACTGTTGTTGAAATAGTGTGACGTTATAAGACTTGTAATTAACAAAGCTTCTTGACAAAATTCTTGTCCTTGTTTCTAGTTATGTACATGGGGTTAATGGCACGCTATTTCATACCAAAAGGCTGCCTTTGCTCCGAATATGTGTTTCGGCCAAGCTCGCTCACGACGATACACCAGCACTACTTTCCCAAACTCGCATTAACTTAGATGGTCTGGCGGAATAGTCGTCTCTACTACATACCAGGAGAGTTTAATATACAATCAATGCCCGTGTCTAGTCCGAGGACGGGGGAATATTATTTAGAGAATTGATGCACTGGCATAAGTTTTATCAAGTCTAATTGCTTATAATTTTCTTGTCAGCAGACCTTGAATTCTACCACGACGCCACAAGTACATGGATTAGATCACTTTTTTTTCAACATGGGAACTCTCTCTGTAACTGCTTTAATAGCATCTAATAACTGTATTCGTCGCATGTGTACTTATTGATTTTGCCTTAGCTTCCGCATAATAACAACATGATTACATACTAAGGCGATGAAAGAACGTAAAGAGCGGCGAAAAAAATCGTCACACAAACGTGAGCCAACTCAGCATCTTCATATAACACAAGAACAGGCGGCTTTTGAATACTTCTTAAAGATAAGAAAATAAGAGGTATGTACTATGTATAGTGGTTATAAGATGCACTCTGCTAAGAGGGAAGAGAGCTGATTGCAATGACAAGGAGTGACGAAGAAGCAGGTTAGTTATATCGCGTAAGCTGGAGACGAATTACGCTTGCATCGTGTGCTGTACGCTCCTTTTATAAGCTATTAGGGAAAAGAGTGACTCTGCCTTTACTGGAAAGTACCTATGTACCAATAAAAAGTTTTAAGAGAATTAGAATTAATAAAAGTCATGCCTAGGTAAGAGTCGTGTCCGTGTATCAATTCCCTTCTCCTATACTCTGTATGGCATTTCAACATGCAGGCCTCTAGGGTATTTAAGCGGTTCAGAGCAATTACCGCGGCCGGACCGTTCAAAGACACTCGAATAGAAGCACCGCGTTCGTAAGCCCATCGCAAGTCATGCATCTTTACATCCATCCATTTCATCTACCAATGTTTCCGCATCATGTGGATACACCATATTCACGGGTTTAAACTCTAGCAGCAACAGGTCCCGAACTGTGGCTGCGGCAATAAGACTCGTCAAGATGCAGAACCTCCAATGGCCGCAACGATAGGTGCTGGAATACAAGACATGGACCAGTGGTGTTTTCAACGCTGCGGCTGCCCAAGGAGCAGGAGTAGTCGGTGGCACAAACCAAAATGTTGGCTTCACGGGATGGGCTACGGCTGGTGGGCATGGCCGGCTTGCAAGTAAGTTTGGCGAAGGTGCTGACAATATTCTCGAGGCGTCGGTAATCACACGGTTGGGACATGTGACAGAAAATCAACATCAGTATTCTGATCTCTTCTGGGCCATTCGATGAGGACCTGGCGGCACGTTCGGCGTCATCGTCCAGCTGACGGTGACGGACACAGTCCCAGAACGCCGAAAACCGCCTCCAAGAACTCGTACATAGAATCTGCGCAGGCGACTTTTCGGACAATTAACGTCTTGACGGAGAATGGTAGTTTTTCTTCTTGCTGGTATCGGTTGGTCGCCGAGTTACATGCCTACCTTCCCGATTTGAAGAGGCATACTCCGCGCACCACCCTCTCACGAGAAGCTTAGTTTCTACGGCCTCTTTTTCTTATACAACAAGCCCAACAGTACAGCAGAGAGACTCACCGAGCCATTCATCTCGCATCTGGAGGCAGCCAATTCAATGGCAAAGTTCACCTCAAACATCTGGTGGGCGCCGGCTTGTTTCAGTGTCTATGAGGATCCAGTAAAATAGCACTATTATTTTTACGTACGAATGTAACGTTTCGCAGATTATTTCCACCACCTTCCCAGTTAGATTCATTCAACCTCACATTCACTGAAAGTAACAAGATAAGACGGGGAACTGGAACAAGAGGCTAACTGCGGGACTAGTAGGCAGACGGTAGGTCGATCAAAAGAGGGGCTTGGTAATGTCAATTAATTCGCCTTGTTAGCCACAAGATAGACTATAACTAGAAAGAAATAATATAAGACGGGTAAGAATAATAAGGAGGGGGGTCAAGGAAAGAACCAAGTTAAGGACGAGGAGGAGAGGTAGACGAGGCAAGGGACCAGGGATTTTATAGGTGTAGTTAAAAGAAGACAGGCTAATTATAAATACATACATAATTTTAGCATACTAAAATAGTTGAAATTACAAACCAACTACTAGTTTGCCCTACAAAGACTTCCTTTCATCAAGTTATAGTCCCAATGCTTGCTCCCCACCCCAGATAAGACAAATAGACTCCTATTAGGATCATACTTTTTCCTCATCCCTAACAGTCGATTATAAGACGCACTATAAAAAGCCTCCTAAAAGTATGGAGTAAATAGGTTGCCCTTTTTCATATATGCGTCTGTGTTAGGAGCCCACTCTCTCTAAACCTTCTCCGTTATTTTATTCCGCTGAGTCGCCATCTTACTCGGCCACTTCTTTGGCGTGACCGTCTTGTAAAAGTTGGCACTGTAGCTTATCGTATAGACGCAAGTTGACCGCCATGCTGAGAGGAGAGCACCGCGCATATTTGGGTTAACGTTGGCGGGACCTGGACCGCCCTGTAACCCAATGACAGCCAATTTAGATTACGCTTCACCGGTTTCGTCGAGCAATCATTTAGTGTATGCGATGAGCGTTCCTAAATTAAGGTCTGGTAACTGTGCTTGGCCTAGCAGATAACTTGAGATCATGCTTATTGCGCCCGCCATGCTAGAGCCCTTTGCCATTAAGCCTTTAAAGAAAGCGCGGTAGCTAGGATATAAAGTCGTCCTAAAGATTACGGCCAAGAGAATATCGGTACTAGATCCGGCCACTGCTTGCATGCGTTGAATAGCTGGCTTAAATAAGGCGACGGCGGCTGATAGAGTTATGTTAAATGTATAAAAACCCTGCGAAACATGCATGCCGAGCTTGGGGTCGCCTTGTACTACCATGGAACCAGCTAGACCTGAATGCATTAAATCAGGAAGATGCTGTAGCAGAACGGCGAATTCCTTCCAGGTCGCTTAATACGCAGCCGAGGTCAACGGTATTATCGGCTAGCGACAAGCTCAAGATGGGATTCACGAGTGTCGTTGGAGCAGCATACGTTTTCAAGACGTACTCAGAGACAATGCCACACTGACCGGCAGCACGGCATTGGATAGCCCACAAAGGATCTTGGTTTTGAGTTTCGTCAGTGAGAATGTGACCCTTTGTCTTGACAACTCGAGCTTGATAGATGTCGGTGGCGAGGCCATAGGTGCTGGACAAGGGGCCGTGACCGCCGCCTGAAATATGACGGCCCAGACCAACAGCTGCGTTGTTGCCGCTCACGGTTACACGTCCCCCGTCTAGGGCGGCAAGAACAGCTTCATCGTAACTCAGACCACTTCCGGCGGCGAGTACGGCACTTATCTTGTTTGCCCCGGGAATGCGCCAGTTACTCACGAGTTCGATGTGCTTGAGATGACGGGCCCAGGCCCAGATGGACAAGGAAGGAGCGCCGCTAGACCTACGTACCAGTGTAAGTGTCCCTTTATGGTAATAATCGAGTGAGTTGCAGCTTACCAGACGTTTTATTGAAATTATGACTAATACTTTTAATAATAATAGTAATGTTCCTATAAGATGCCAACTAAGCAGCCGCAGTAGTCTGAATATTATTCGTAGCATTCACTATCCACTACTTGGAGGCCTCTACTCTAAAGACAGCGATAGACGTTTCGCATGGCGGGTGGATTTGCTTAGATATCGTCTGATTCATGCAAACGTGGCCTTGGTCGAGTCATTAACGTACCGAGGCTACTCGGCAGTCCAGTCACCGACGAGTATCCACGAAGCTGGGTAGCAGTGTTGCAGCAATGGGGACACGAGTTCCTGCAGAAATAATCTCTTCACCACTGATAGGCTCGTCTGATGCTTCCTGACACGTGTTGGTCTCATCCCAGCCGTTTCATCCTTGTCGCTCTAGGAAGAGTAAAGAAAATTGCTTACTACCTAGTTGTCACAGTGACACCCGTGGGTACACCATGAAAAGTAATATTACAACTCACTCTCCACTTGGCTTGGCTTGGCTTGGCCTGTCTTAAAAAAGCCAAGTATTAATGGGTTACAAGAGATTTGAGAAACTCGTCCAGTTAGTCTAGGCAAGCTCCATTTTCCTTTGAAGGAATCTGCTCGCCACACTAGGCGGAAATATTCTCGCCGCACCTTCCTGTTTTTCCCCCTATATGCTCATTTCTTGCCTTGTTGGAACAGAAGGCGGCCTCGACAGCCTTTTCCCCGCAATCCACTTACGCAGCCCATGTGTGGTCTTTGACCAATATTCCTGCATATCCCGGTGCACACGTAATGGATGCAACTGTCGGCTGATGCCACGCCAGAGGGTCTTCAGTTTACGTTATACAATGCGAGCGGCGGCGAATGGTAGGCTTCACGTCGGTAGTTTATAGATTAATCACTTGTGTAGCAAGCTACAGGACAGGAGCGGACACGAGAAAGGAGAGGTATAAAGCAGCTGGGTACCAGCTGAAGGTGACGACATATTGCTAATATATCCTCCCTTACGTATCTTTCCAGATTGTTTATCTTGACACCGCATTAAATGAGGGGCTCGATAACCTCTTTCAGTGTCCTTGCAGGCCTAGCTGCATCCAGTGCGTGGACATTACCAGATATCGCAGGCCTAGAACAGCCTGAAAACCAACTCTGTTTTGGAACTGGATCAGGCATTCAAGGCTGTAACTTTGCATCAGACGACGTACGTGGCCTGAGTCTATGCGCATAGGAAGTCGGATTGTTGGCGTGGTACTAATACAATATGCGACTATAGGGAGACGTGCTTGGGAGTATTGATATTGGGGATATTTGCATCAAAGGAAAAGTCAACCCTGATAGCTGGATAAAGAGAATTCCAAACTGCAATTGAATGGTTGGCTGAAAGCTGTCTTGTCGATTTAACAAGTCGTGTTAATGTAGTGGCTGCATTAAAACTCAGATAAAGCGCTAGTAGAGTGCATAACATAGCTGCGAATAATTTCACATAAACGAATATAAATAATAGATTGCAGCATGAGTCACACGAAATAATATTAGGAGCCCACATGTATTCATGCTTATACAGTAGTAGCGCTACCAGGAGTCTTGGATGCCTCGAGTCATTTAAATTAATATAAATGAAACCTCAATATTATGCTATAGAGAGTGGGCTTGTTGAAGAGTCATGGTAAATAGGCTCCTTAATATTATATATATATTACTTTATACTGGTAATAGCAAAGTCTGCCTATAATTTAACGCCGAAATCCTCGCAAGAATTCTAGGTATCCCTGATTTGCTATCTAGCCGTGCAACTATTTACCAATTATTCACTTGCAATCTCCTTGCTATAAACTATCTCGACCTTTTATTTTTCTTCCAACAAAAGAAGCTAGCCATCAAAATGAAGTACTCTACAGCCATTATTCCTGTCTTCGCTGTCGCCTCTCTTGCGGCCTCTATTGAGACTCGACAGAACAAGAAACTACCTTGGACGCAACCAGTAAACCTTCTCGATCAATGCGGATTTATGGCACCGATTACCGAATATTGGTGCGGTACAGAAAAATTCTGCAACATGATCAATAACCCAATTATGCAAGCATGCGAGAACCCTCAAGGCTGGAAGTCGCCTAAAGAGTGCTTAGACGCCCATGAAGCGAAGCCTTCCAAGGAGAAGTGCAACAACCTACGCAAGGACGCATTTGATAAGTGCCGAGAGAAGTCCGAATTCCGAGAGTGCGAAACCAAAGGTAACGGTGTATTTAAAGGGTGCATGGGTTATCAAAAAGAGAAGTCGGCAACGGAGATAGATGCAGAATTGCGTGCTAAAGGCTGTGAAGTATAGAGAATTTCAGATGCATTAAAAGCGGCAGCGAAGAAGGGTTTTTCGTCCAACCAAGTAAGTAATAAGCTTGCTTGGTAAGGTTTTTCCCTTTGTATTTGCTAGAGATAAGTTGATAGTTTGAATGCAAATAACACTGTGTAATCAAGATAGTATACTAAGTCTATTCGTGTTAAGTTAAATATAATATCGCTACATATACAAGTATATATATACACTTAGCTATAAATATCTTACAAATATGTCTAATCTAACCTTGAGGCTGTGGAAGGTTGTCCGGCTACTAGTTTCCTGCTGCTATTATACATATCACCTTTTATTAATAACCCTACTCGCTTATAGCTTTAATGCAATCTCAGTAAGTGCAGGACTTGAGTCGCTATGCGTTTGGCCTTGTTAGTCCTTTTATCCTATCCAATATCATGGTAAGGCTTGCTCTTGCAGTTCTTGTATTTAATGTCTTATTTCATGGAGAATATATAGCCCTGATTTACCTCTAGCCACGCTACGGACCTGAAAACTTGCTAATTGTCTAGTTATTTTTGCCGCCGCATACTATTGACATAGTATTACCGCCCATGTAGGCGCTCTTGGTTTGACTGGTAGTCGTGCACAGCGCCTACATGGCCGTCTACGCTGCTTTTATCCGTACATGTAGATATATAAATAGCTTTTATCTTACTATAAATACTGTATTAATATTTCTCTGAGCCTTTTTAGTGCTTTGTTTAACAACCAGTTTAGGGCTGGCCGGCACTCACAAAGCGAGTGCATTTGACATCGCTCGCATTCTATACCGCGCCACGGAATACCAAATTTCGGTGTTAGCAAACTCAACCGCTCCTTGATTGCTTCTTAGCCCGGTGCGTCTACTTCCTATTTAATACCAGACTCATATAAGGCTGACAGTCACAGTGCACTGTCTCCTGATTAGTAAACATAGATGCAGTGTTTATATGCAAATCAGTGTCATCAAGATACCCGGTTGACTTTTCTACTTCGACGATTTTATAATCTACTTTCATGCTTAAATGCGAGTCAAGGAGAGTCCGTAGTAGTATTTACTAGGATTTCCCATGGTAGAATCCCAGGTCCATAGGCAGCTCTCTTACGTGCTGCAAATAGCGTGGCACGGGTAGTTGGTAATGATTACGTTATCAATTAAATCAAAGGGGGGGGAAAGCGGACAAACGATGAAAAAGGACAGATAACAACAAATACACTGGGCTTTGCCGACATAGCTATTTAATTTTACACTGACGCCTTTTGTGAACAGCACTAGGTGTTTCAAGTACGCCGGTGGATTAGTCGCATGTTTCATGTGCCTTGGTCAAAGATAATGCATTCATATTTCAGTTCTGACATAGTTGTCCCGGCCCTATTCCATGAAATTAAAGAAACCAAGGACCCTTAATGCCGAAGACTGTTATTAGATGAATTGAGTCATGGTGCTTTAAAGTCCTGACTCAACCCTTGTCACGGACTAGGATTATGCCCTACAACAAATCACGACAAATTAAGAAACTTGCAAGACTAAGGTTTAAATTGTGGAGTTGTGTCAGATTTCCCAGCTATTACAAAATAAAGGCTGGTCAACTGCCTGAATTAATGCGCTTTTTTTTTTGGCCGTTGGGGGAGGGTGTGGTTGAAGATAAAAGACCTCAACTCTTCGAGCATGATAATGTGACAAGGGCTTGTGTTATAGGGGGCTTGGATCAATTTGGTCTTCAGCTAAGGATTCGCTTTAATTTTAAAGTTTCTTGGTTTTCTCAAGACCTCAAAGGGCGGATGTCCCTTATTTGTATCAAGCAGCGGTGAGCAAGCGAGCGTTCCAAGGCCTCAAGCAAGCACGTCTCAATCCCTTGTGTACACCCACTGTAACTATCGTCGAGTTCAATGTTCGGCCCATGCCTTTATGAACGTGACTTTCGTGTAACAGATAGAGCTTGTCAAGCCGTTCTTGCTCTGGTTAGTCAGTACGTCTAATCGGAGCTGTATTTCAGCGCGTCCACACGTGATACGACTATATTCTTATCGCCACGCTCTCAAGTTGTTCAACCAACGAATGTACGCCCGAGCAGCGTTTCCACGACTTCGAGATCCAATACACATGCTTCTGTGCGCTGTAGTTCAAGGGGATCTGTCTTGATCCAGAAAGGGCTGAGAGATGACTTCGGACATCTCACGGCGTCGTGTCGTCTTGTTACCTACGCCTTGCAAGGCTAGCTCCAGGCAGCTTTTACTGCATGATGAGCTGAGACAGCCTCGTTGTGATGCATGACTTGGCATAATGCTTGTGTTGTTACTAGCTAATAAAAGGTTCTGTAAGATGGGTTAAATGCGGTCTGCTTAGATTCTCAATAGACATTTCTGGGATGTAACATTCTATCAGGAAAGATTATGCCCAGATTACGTTAGCTAGTTCTTGAATCTTGGGACCGGAATACACGAATCACTACAGGTACCAACATAGTCTTGAGAGATGCTATATTTTGATACACCCGCTTGCTTATCCAGAATACCAGAAATAATAAGTCTCGAATTGTTTAGGCGGGTGCTACTGATGCCACGGCGGATTACTTTCTGTGAGAAAATGGCTGCGCGCGACTAAGAGGGGAACAATCTTAAACATCCACCCAAGGTCGGCTCACATGACTTGACATTACGTAAAGCAAGCAAATGCCAAGTCAAGATGATAGAAATGGTAAATAAACTAACCCAAGATACGGTACGGCACTTGGCCCGGCTTCTGTCCTGTCCGCCGCTACTGTCCGGCATCTTGGTAATCCGCGCGCAAGGCGCTTCTTGGCTCTTGGCAACCCGACACCTTGCGCACCATGACACTTGGGAAGTCGCTATGAACACACGAAACCGAGTATATGTTCTATTGAATTTCTGAAAATGTAATGGTTCATTATCTACGTGCGAGGTTTGCTTCCCTGTTGCAGTGAGCTCAAGGAGCAATTCGTGTGAACACAGCTATGGGTGGCATCCCACTGAACGATGAACCTATCAAAACGGCTACATCTCAGTAGCGTTGAGCCCTTCATGTCTGGTGGGTTAGTAATGTCGTCCCGTCCCCAAAAAGTAAGAACTTGTGCAGATATGACAACAGACGTCGGCAGCTTGGCAGATTAATGTGGCGTGCGCGGGTCGTGAGCCAAGCAAGGCGGCAACCTTGGCGATGACGAGGCTAAAACATTACAATTGCTCTATTTGGCTCGGCAGTCACCACAAGTGACCACTCAATCTGGAAGTGAGTGCATTGTGATTCTAATTTAGACCAAAAAATAAGGCTGTGTACAGACATCCAGGGAATTCTTGCCCTCATGCGGTGTTGCCTGTCTTGGCGACAATCAAATTAGCTGGAATTACCTGGTTTCAATCTCGTATTCAAGTAGCTACAAATTCTTGTGGCATTAGAAATTGAAAATATATAATTCGAGCTTCTTCTCGTCATGATGAAAAGTGCTTCATCTCAACTTCCTTGGCCATTTCCCCCTCACTTGACAAACAAACATGAAGACATCAGTGCTTTTAACTGGCTACATCTCCATTGCGGCGGCCAGCCCCCTTTTAAACATCAACATTGGGAAGCATAGGACTTCAGAAGGACCATTCCAATTCACCTCGACCTACAGCGTCAAGGTTGGCCCAAGGGCTGTTGTCGACGCCGACAACAAGCCTACCGGCGGACTAGCCGGTGCATCTGGGTTCTTTCAATACGGCATCAACAGTTATGAAAATATTATCTGCTACAATCTCACCCTAGATGGATTCCGCGGTGAATATCAATCGCCTGCTCTGACGGCTACTCACATTCACGAGGCACCAGTAGGAAAGGCTGGGCCGCCACGGTAAGACTCCGCTTCGCATGACTACAAGCAAGTTGCTAATAATTGAATGGCCATGTAGTATTGCGTTTCCCAATCCACAAGACTCTCAAGGTGGTCGTCGAACTAGCATTGGCTGCCTTAGAGGACCGTTTCTTACTGGCGTAAAGGTAGACGGCGAAGATACGGGTCAAGGATTCCATGTTGAGCAGATTGAGAGAAACCCGTCTGCTTTTTTCACAGACGTTCATTCCAGCTTGGCTATTCCTGGTGCCGTGAGAGGCCAATTGGACAGCGGAAACAAGTGCTAAGGCTAGCCGGGAATGATTGGCAATAAATAGTGTTGAGTATACGAATCAGGGGTTGAGATTTATATGGTCCAAGTCAATGTCATGTTAATTGGTCTATAAGATCTATCAGATTTAATGAGCTGTATTTTTATTAAATAATAACTCAATGTGTTGCATATGGTAATCCTTAGTCCAGGTATAAGCATTTTTAAGCTATCGTAAAAATTCTAGTGTTTGTTCTTCGAGCATGTTGCACCAAGCTTTCATATGTTAAACATACGTTGCCAGAGTAAGAAAATTGTGATGTAAGCCTTTTATTTATCCAACTAGTAGGTATAAATTGGAATGAGCATGTTGGTTCAAGAATGCAAATGCTACCATGGCATGTTCAATATTGAAATGGATAAATGTCCTGTCTGGTCGCGGCTATTGACAACGCAGTAGCGGCCTCGCTACACCAACTCACAATGGGTATTTCTGAAACCGTAGTAAAGTATAATAAGATCAAGTTCATCATTTTTCCAACATTTCATCAAGACGTGTAGTCAACTTCTCTGCCGCGATTATAGATATATAGTAACAATACCAGCAAATACCACCATTTTGCAAATGCTTCCTTGGGTCATGGCTCAAACTTCAGGACGTGTGAACCTCATAAAGAAATCCTGGATAATCTCATTGGCTTGAATATGCGTTGGCTTATCACCAGCCGCTAGTTGCGAAAAGTTTGGCTCTGTCGATGGCCAGTCGTGCTCTGCCCGCACAAAAGTTAGCAAGCGTTCCAACATAGCCCCAAGTCTCAAAGAGCAGGATTGAGTTATACTTTGATCATCGGTCTTGTAGTGCTGCACTACCCCTTCTTGCCCGCCGCATGTCCAGGTAAGATGGTGTACGTCACCGTCAAACAGATCCTCCTGATGATGAGGCGTGTCGCATTTATTCCGGGCTGCCCACCAACCGAGCCTTGACATTTTTACTATTAGTATTTGTTGTTGCCATGAATCTGTCAAGTTCATGCGCGTACCAATTCGGGATTGCAGGCTCAATACCACCTTCACCTTGCCCGCCACCATACTTGACATCCGCGTCAGCTCCACCGTGGAACTCCAAAATGGGCATCGGAACGCGTGCAGGCTCGCATAAATGATGGTTTGCATCGTTATTAGTATAAAAGGACCCGGAGGCCGGGGCCATGGCAGCAAACTCGCCTCCGACGGTGCTGTTGCAAGCAATGGTATCCACGAAGCCGCCACCGCTGGACAAACCGGTTGCATAAATGCGCGAACTGTCGATGCAAAAGTTCTGACGTAAGTCGGCAAGAAGATCCCACACAAATTGCAAGTCTTGGTCGACAGTGGCCTGGGAGTAGTTGGCTCCGGCCCATGCACCGCCTAGTCCGTTGGGATAAACCATGATCTTGTCGCGGGTAAATCGAGCCTCGTCGAGTTTCGTATCGGCCTGAAAGAATAACCCGATACTACTGGAGCCGTGGAAGCCTAGAATAGTAGGGTATTCATGGTGTTTATCGTAGTGGGAAGGGAGATGCACGCTGTAACTGCGATGCACGCCACTAGACTGTATCCCGCGATAGATGGGAAGGCCGATGACTTGGGCAGTATGCATCTTTCCACAGCCCGATGTGTCGCCTCCCGTGTATTGGTTGGACGCGACCGAAAGGGTGGCGACGGGGTTGATGTTGATGACGAGAAACGCGAGAAACAACATGGCCACTTTGTTGGCCATGACGACAATGGGTAATGATGGGGTTCCTTTCTTCCAGATAGTACCAGATACAGGGGTATCGGACGTATTGAGTTGTTACACGGTCGACATTTGACATGATATTCTCAACCAAAGCAGAAACACGCCCACGCCTGGCAGCCTGGGAGGAGCAGGATGAAGGATCGGCGCCAGATCGATCGACGATGACCTGCTCTAGGTAGCCACAACGGGCTTAGTGTCCGCGTGTGGTCAATCTAGAGCGGTCACGGATGAGGAGTCGATCCTCGTGCCCCTGGGCGCTTCCTGTCTTGATCTCCTGCCGGCGCCACGTGCAGTTGACCATGGGTTTTGCCTCATGATGGATGTTGCCCGTGCTGCAGTGCTCTGGACATGGCAACGCTACTTGAGTAGTCACTGACTCCGGGACATTCAATTGTCAAGTAGCAACATCAATTGTATTTGCAGCAAACACCTGTGGCTTGTGAAGTGAAAGTACATACAACCGGACCGACCATGAAAAGCATAGCCCGGGGCAACATCCCATTCCAAACCACGTACAGTATGCTCAAAGACTCGAGCATCTATAATCTATCCCGTACCCAAAGGTCACTATACAACCAACGGAAGCCATACATGCGGCCTCAAACTGTCCCATACCCGTAGGGACTGAAAGCATACTGCGTTCCGAGAGGTGAAAGGGCTGGGCCACCATTCTGGAGAAGAACCTGAGAGTTCATCGCAGTGCCAAAGTACGCGTACCGCGCAACACAAGCAGTTTTATCCAAAAACGGCATGGCCCTCTTCAAAAATTCGCCCTGCTGAGCGGGAGACCCGAATCCTTGAAACTACACCTCGCGTCAACATGACCTATCTGCCGTGCAAATTATGAGTCCGGCGACTTACCTCTGTGATCCAAATTTGACGGCCCCTGCCCAATTGGCAGACCTTGTTGACCCAGTTCTCCAGGTCAAACTCCAGGGTATGATCGTTGTACCAATGGACAGGGATGAAGTCAATATGACAGCCTTGGCATTGGTTGAGAAACTCGCTCAGCCAGTCGTAGCCGGCATTCGAGATTGCCGGTGCGCCAAGCTTTACTTGGCCTGCATACGGCTCCATATACGTCTTCCATGCTGTTACTGCCGCTTCGGGGGACATGTTTGCCTGGTCTGGACGGTCGGGCTCGTTGAAGCCCAGTAAATGCTGGGTTCCTCGCTGCATCCAGTAGCGAGCGTTGTAATGCCATTGCTGAGTGTGATAGCTCTGGGTGCCCCAGAGCATGGGTACGAATTCGGCAAAGGGCTGTTTTTGGTTTGTTGTGCTATCCCAGTTGTATTGCCAGGTAATCTGGGACTTGTGGCCTTTAAAAATTCCCCAAAAGTTGTTGATGGGAATGCCGTCATTGGCAGCGAGGCCGCGTTTCGGTGTTTCGGCGCCGGAGGATGTCGTCAACAGCAGTGCTGCCGTTACCAACGAGCTTAAGTGGGGCATTTTGAACATTTTGGTACGAAGCCAGTTATTCTTTGACAAGTAAAGACAGGAAGAGCAGGCGTTGGGCAAGTCAATTGCTTCAGCGGCTGTCGATTCTACGCAGAACTTGAAATGTGGCTAGACCCCAGCTCCTACTTATACTTGGATTTGAGTGACAAATTTCAGTTTCCCCAACTGCATGCTCCATTGATTTTGTAAAACCCTTTTCCAAAACTCGGTAAGAAAAGTCCATGGAGGTCAAAGTTGGCTACGTTGAGTAGGTGACATGTGTTACCACATAACACAGCAAGTAGTCGCAGCCAATAATGACAAGTCGTACTGCCGTGGCAACCAGGGATAGAAGGTTCCTGATGGAAGCTCCTTGACAAATCCCAGAGGAATCGGCCGAAAGCCCAGACCGAGGATTTGTGGCAGGGATTTAATGGAGCCGACTGCTTTGTTCGAGATGCACAACGATGGATCAATCCTCCGCCTACGTGTTTGTGATACCATGCTTTCGATAGTCTTCATGCATAACAGTTATTACGCGGAAATCATGCCTATTGCGGCACGGACCGGTCCTTGGGCCTGACTATAGTTACACAAGGGTTTGAGACTTGGCTGAGCCCCTGGACTTGCAGGTTCAAATGCTCACCGCTCACTAGATCGTAACAGTGCCGCCGAGTTTTGTGCAGCATGGCGCAAGGCCGTAGCCGGTTCTTGGCGCGTCTGGAATCCTTTTTCTGGTGGCACTGCTGGTAGATGTATTCCTTTACTTTTGCCAACGTGGTTCAGTATTATTTGCCATCATTACGCATGCAGTAGATATAGAATCGCTCGAGTATTATTAGCCATATGCATAGAGCACGGTTATATGCAAGTATTCAAGCCTTATGCATGGCATAATTGTTTCTAACACTAACCTTCTTAAGCTGACCATGGAAGAAGCTGCATTTGGTGGTTGCTGGAAAGTAGAACTGCGAGTATGTATGGGAACAATCGTCCACTACCCGGCATGACCACACACCTAATCTGTGTATGCAAATGTAATTTTAATATGCGATCGCTTCTAGCCTATTGGTTCAAAAATGCCTACTTGTGAGCCTCTACTAAATCCCTAGCTCGGTAACTCCCTCAGATGTTGTATAATTGACCATGTTGAACCGCATGCAGTCTCTGGTCTTCCGATACCACTTCTCTTTCACACCGTCTCGTGATCCCGCATAGAAATACCATAAGCACAGGGCTGTTATTTTTGGCAAAATCGGCTGCCACGCCGCCACGGGTACAGTGCAGACCAAAACAACACCAAAGCGTGTGAGCGTGCCGATCGACCAACAATGGCTAGAAACCACTCTGTACTTACAGCCCCGGCAATATGACAGTGGTGACTTACATGTTACAAGTCAATTTTGTAATGCGCCCAAGGCGCTAACAAATGTCTCCCAACCTCATAAATCAGAAGGCTTCCAGAGAGATAAGGGAAGTGAATGTCGAAATACATGGTCTCCAAGACGAGCTACATTTATCCACGCAGTCTATGGGCTTGGTGCATCCAACCTACGGGGTACATTTCATTGTCGCCAGGGCACCAATGTTCCATCAAGTTATTAATCTATGATGTAAGAATGCCTATGATATGCACATTCTATATGTTCCATTGACCACCATCCTCTTCATTACCCAAAAATGACGAAAGAGTGAGACGTCCCATAATGTTGTACGGAGACTAACAGTAGGAGCCAAAGTAACGTCCACGTCCCCACGCCGGCTCTCCATAATAACACATTTTATTCCAACACTCAGTAATAGCCTCATCGAACATCTCCATGCTCGTTGAAGCAAGTAATCCAACAAATTAGACCTTGGCATTGTGCCCAACTAACTGTGACAAACTTGCCACAGGCACGACACTCTCTTTGAAGTGTCTCGCCATCCTTGTGAATTCGACCCTGTACAGGAGGAAATCCTAACCTTGGCTCTCTATTCAGGGGACGAGCTTGACGGCAACTTTGACCAATCGCTCCAAGCAACGCATCCCTGGGCTGATTTGCCCCCGTTCTTGTTCTCTTTGGACCCCTCGAGCCCATGATTCTTCTTGCCGGGATGATTAGGCTGAGCCTCCATCTCAAAGTCAGACTGTAATTGTCCGTCAACTGTATTCGTGGACTCCACTCGATCCTCAGAATCGCAATGTTCTTGCTGTGGCGTCGTGCGCCAGGTGACGGCACTCAATTCGTCCAAACCATGACGCTGTGTGCCAACAGCATCATCACTCATGTTGTCCTCCCCGGGTGCATCATCGACCACGTCGTCCATGACAGGCAGCAAGTATAGAGCAATCTCTTCCATATGTTGCTTGATATGCTTCCTCATTTCAGCCTGGGCGCAGGGTGTATTTGGAGCGGGAAAGCAATTCTTGACCACGTCTGGATAGCCGCCGCAAAAATGGCAAGTTTCAAATAGGAAAGGCGTTTTCTCCCGGCCAAGTTCTGCTAACGAGTTCCATTCTGGTCTTGGTATGTTCAGTTTCTCTTGAAGAAACTGTTCAAATAGTTTTCTGTTTTCGAATGCTCGGTCGGACCCGTCGGGCATTTTGAAATAATAATGTGCAGAAACGTGTGAGTCATGTATGTGGGTTAGAAGCCCCTCAAAGCTATTGTGCACTTCAAAAGGTTCAGAGCAGTCCTTGAAAACGCAAAAGTAAGGCTCAAAGTCCCTCATGACATGCTGGCTGAAATTATGTCAGCACTAGTCTCTCAGACATCTGGTGATTCATCCAGGCTGAACGGTGCGTACCTCCAGGATATTCCTTCTGCTTCTGTCGAAGGAAACACAAGAAAACAATAGGGACACGTAAAGATGTCTGATCCCTGAAGTCTTGGCCGGCACGGAAAGCCACCGTGCCTCATCGTGACTGAAGCAACGCTCTCTGCTGATGGAAAGACCTGCGTCCGAGGCGGCGAAATCGTATCGAGGCGAGTATTCTCAGTTGCTGAGAGTATGACACCACGATTCCCGACGCGGGGCGTGGTATTCTGGCTGTCTGGTTTGTTTACCTGGGTATCGGTTTCAGGAAATGGGGTCAAGGTTGTCCCTGCGGGATCATTCTGTGGTTGGGGTGGAGATTCATGATGCAAACCACAAGCAAGCTTCTCCTGCTGATGCTTCAAATATTCAAAGCGCATTCTTCTCCTAGCGAATGATTCCGCAATTCTTTCTTGCATCCAGAGAGGCGACCGTGGAAACTGATGCTCGACTTTTTCCCGGGCCATTGTCTTGAATAACTCGTAGACTTGATTCTGACCCGGCTCATTCTTGAACCGTTCAATCCTTGTCTGCATATCATTTTCCCCATCCAATTCAATCAACCGAGCTTGCGTATGGAGCCTGTAAATATTGTTCTCTATGCGTGTCCATTTCCTATTTGGCTGGAGATGTGGGTCGTGATCGTGTGAGACAGGAATCGGATCTCGAGACCATTCAGAGCTGTCGGCATCTTCATCGTCGCATTTCTGTTGGCTTTGAATCTTGCTCGTAGCGTGCTCATCAAAAATTTCTGGCTTCAGCAGGTCTGGTTCGACGCACCCTATTAACTTGCCACAATTTATTTTAACTTCCTCCTCACTTCGGGGTTCACTCACTTTGCAAACACAGATTTAACACCTCGAGGAGTCCTGCTATTATTCTTCTCCTCTCGGGGAGGTCCTTTAGACGATAGTCCAAAGAACGTTGGCCTGACTTATAAATGCCTATTTTGAAACACCATGAGTTAAATCTGGCGGATTGGTCAGACAGGAAATTAGACTTCTGATGCCCAAGGTCGTTTTGTTCGCAATTTGAAAGAAGGTCTTTCAGTGTATTTTGGCACCGCATGGCCTGGACGACGAGTTGACTGGCATGTCCGCTGGGTGCTTCCTCCATGATGGCGATGGTGAGCGAGAGGTTGCTTTAATGCTTCGAATGCGCCGCGAGTTGGCAAGCGTTTGCGACTTGGGAGCGACAGTGGGTTATATTCTCGTGACGTGAGGATGAGAGAGGTAGAAGTCGATCGATGGTAATCCAACCAGAGAATTTATCTTTGCATGTGTACATGTGCTTATATAATGCCTTTCAGTCAGTGAAACAATGAACAAAGGGCTGCAAGAGCCAACATGGATATTCACAGCCCTTTGTCCGCAAATCTGACAGGCGAGGGTCCCCAGGCCGTCCCCATCATGTTCAAATTGAACTCATGCATCTCGTCGCCCAAACCGGGGTGCGCGCCCCCAGACACCCAACCGTGGCGCTGTTCAGCATTCACATAGTAGGTGTGTGTTGGACGCAGCTTGCTCAGCTGATCGTACCGCATGCTCCATTGCTGAGCCCAGCCTTGTTGCGATTAGGAGAGTCAACTGCGTCCCTCGCGTGTTCAGTCAGTATCTCCTCTTCATTCATGACATTGTCTCTGTCGCGACTGGATCGGACAGACCAGGTGATGCCGTGATTCACAATTCCATCACATTTCGAATCTTCACAGTTAGCCAACACATTCGGACACGTCGCTGAATGTGGCACCTCGACCTGCGTGGTGATGTCCTTTTCATATTCACGACCTTTGCCGGTCAGAAAGAGAAGGAATATGACGAAATACGAAATACAAATGCCGATGCTAGCGAAACGCACTCGCAAGTGGTCGAGCTCCTTGGCGACTCGGATGCCATCGATAAAGCGGTGACGAAATCACAGGGAGAATGAACTCTGGGCCACGACGACTTGTTTTGAACCAGACTATGGACAAATTGTCATTCATAGCGAATGAACATGTGGAGGGGCTAGGCCGTAGAGGAGATTGTCATCAAATGATGCTCTATATTGATAATCTTGAAAAATCTCAGTACAAGGCTAGAGGAAGAATGTGCAGATGGCTTTCATCTGCACGCCAGACTGTTTGCCCGCACGTGATCACGTCCGGTGGGTCCCTCAACAGAACCGATGGAGGAGCGGCATCTGAGATTAATGTCAAGACAGCCCCCCAGTTCTGCCTAAATCATCACAAGCCTCGGGCCATGGCCGCTGAGCAAATGTCCGAAGAGGGCCTAACACGCTATTACATTCCAACGCCGAAATTACGATATTACTTGATACGTTTATTAAAGATAGCACGCATCAATTAAACCATTTCTTTATCAACGTGTGCAACACACCAACTAAATCAGGCTAGTAATGTGGCTGGGGCCATGGCACTTATGCATCAGTATGCATCAAGATCCCAATAGATCTGGTACTCCGATCATGAAACGGACTTGGAACGCCTTCAGCCCTCAATGTTTTGTTTCAACGACTCTGCAAACGTGGAGGCCCCACACAAGGCGACGAGTGGCATTGACGTCATGTGCTCCTTCTAGTGCAGCGGGTGTTGCAGCGCTGCCGCCCCATGATTCTCGAGCATGTCTAGATGAGACCCTGTGGAGGCGCAAGCCCAAGATTGACGTGTCATCCAGCGGACATAGCCGTGTTTCCAGCTGCAGCATACCACAAAACAAGTTGTCCCGGGGGTAGGCAAAGCGGGCGGGAAGGATCAAATTGACTAATCGGCGCAGCACCGACCTCTCGGGAGCCCTGCGGCCGCACGAACATCAACAACACTACAATTGCGAGGTTCGCGATGCTACACACGTGAGTGGCGTAAGCCACATTTTCACATTGACCAGGTACCAAAGGGGTTTTTTTTTTAGTAACCAATTAGAGCCTAGGGGACGCTCTTAATATATTATATTATAGATGTAAATTGGGAAGCTGCATACATACAGCTTGTTGCTTGCTATCGTGTCGTATTCACTCTACTCGGGCACCAATTTTCATCCCGCTTCGCCTGAAAACCAATTGTCGCCGTCAGCGTGGCGCAGGCATACTGTGACATTAACGGTTACGCAAAGGACGGGCTATAATCACGGGATCTAGGGCAAAAGGCTCGCACAACTTGTTGTATAAATAGAGCTCTTTAGTCAACTTGGCCTTGAAGAAAACCAAGGACCTCTGATACCAAAGACTGGTATTGAATAAATCAACATTAAAGCTATTGACTCCAAACCCTCATTGCTGAGCTCTTGTCACAATACTAGACCACTATACTTGCGGAAACAGTTGTCAACTGCCTCCCCCAAATTTTGGCAAGTCAAGTCGATATAGTTGGGAAACTGCAACCAAAAACTATGCCTCAATCAGCCTGTCGATATTACTTTCGCGCTCCTACGTTTGATATCAAACCAGAGAGCCCCGCGACAGCGCGACTGGGCAGCATCTTCGCAAGTCTTGGCGAGTTGACCAACCCTCTTAACCAGCATGATGTCATTGCCATCCCTCGGAGCTCAATCAATGCGAGCCGTGTGCCCAATTTCAAAGAGGTGGTCAAGAAAGGCATTTCTGGCTCAGCAGGAATTGTTGGGACTCTTTCTCACACACTCGTGCCGAGCGAAGTTCTGTATACGTTTGCCAAAGACAAGACCACCACTTATACGTGCGCCGCTATGGAAACTTACGAGTTCGAAGCCAGTGAGCAATATGTAACAGATAGCATCACCGCCTCGTTACGTGTCCAGGATTTTATTTCCGCCTGTTTCATCGGGAATAACAAGGTGTATATGATCACTGGGCTCAAGATTGCTGAAGGCTTCAGCATGTCCACTACCGACGCCGGTTCCCACGGTCCGGCTTGCAAAGTCGGCCTTGATGCGCTGGCTATGGGAGCCCCCAGCTTAATTGGTCCTCGACTGATGTTGCAACGAAGCGTGGACAGGGACGTTTCCCACGGTCCATCCCCATCCAAGGTTATTTTTGCGTATCGGGCGATCGAGATTGCGCCAAAGAGAAATGGTAAATTAAGATATAAGCCTCGTTTCGTCTACCTCTGTGCCCCTAGCAAGCATGAGGATGAAGATGAAGATGAAGAGGCAGGGTGGGAGCTTGAGCCGGTCGAGGAGAAACAGATGCTAGAAATGTATCCTGGAGCGCTGACTGTGTTGGTGGATTTGCAATAGGGGCATTGCAGTTTCAGTCTTGAGGCAAGGGTCGGCACAGACCGAAGAGTACATCCATCATGTTTTTTGTCATTTTTCTTTATGTTTGTAGTTTGTTAGAAGTAAGTACTTGTACATTGCAATAACAAACGACTTTATTATCCTAAGCACCACATAAACTACACTACACAACGGGCTGTACACGATTGTCACAATACCACTCTACAGCTTAGGGTTCTGCAATAAAACCAGCACTGAAATGATTATTCGATCGTATTTGGATACTTCTAGCACATATAAAACGGTAATAAAGTAAATATTAAAGAAAGGCCCGCTTAATAGCGTTCAAGTAGCTTACGACGTAGATAACTTGTGTTATATAGAATTACATAGCTGTCAAATAGGGGCTATATTCCTGAGGCCTTAGGGCTCTAGGCTTTATGATTTCTTGTATAAATACAGCTCTTCTATATACATCCTTAGTATATCATCAAGACTTGTTGCAGCTCTTATTTCTACTTTATCACGAGGGTTGAAGAACAGTTGACGAATAATTTTGTAACTCATTTATTGAAATACTGGAAATTTGAAATACACCCATGAATCCTGCAACTCCACAGCCATATTGAGATGAAAAAAAAGCCCTTGCGGGAAAAAAAAACCTCTGGCCGTGAGTTGCCTAACAGAACTCGCCATTGTCCCATGACCCTCCTTCCTCCGCCCCGTCTAGGTTAATCCTTGGATTCCTTGGTGTCTGGTGGAAAAGAATTCGACGTTCCCCCATTCTCTGCCACCGTGTGGACGAAACCCGCTTTTTCCAATATTTCTTGTAGTTGGGGAGTCATCTCCACCTTGGATTTGGATTCCTTGGGGTCTGGTCGAAAATAATTCCACCTTCTCCCATTCCCTGACACTGTGTGGACGAAACCCGCTTCTCCCAATATTTCTTTTAGTTGGAAAGTCCCATCTAAGCCTGGCATAATAGCCGTGCCATCATTGGGGATGTACAACCACTCCGAGTGAGTTTCGGTTGATTCTTCTTCCCACTTTTCAAAACAATATGCCTCCGCCCATGGTGCGAAAAGCTTCTCAACTTCGGCGAGATTTTCGCCCTCCTTAACATCCACAGTGAAACTGAAGCAGTCAAAAATGTCGCATCTCGCCTGCACTGCCTTTACAGAAAATGTTAGCAATGGCGTAAATAATGATAGTTGACGTTATGTAGCTGCAGCCAGACATTTGACCGCATAATCTCCGCTACATGTAAAGCGGTGTGTGCCTCCTCGGTTCTAGGGGAAATAGCACCATGGGTCTTTGCTTTATATTGAACTTACAGAAGCATCCATGACAAGTATCAAATCTTCGCATTGTTCGCTGACCGACAATTCTTGACCAGGCGGCTTTTCTTCCTTCGGCGGTTCTTGATTAAATGCGGAGTTTCCGTCCCACCAGGCCATTTTCTCTCACCTGGCAGCGGGAATAAGTCTTTGGTAAAGGTGTTGTTTGAAGTCAAATGTGTAAAAGGTTGTGACGATGTGCTTTTCTGATGAGCTACCTGGAGAGGAAAGTTTCGTCATCTAAATAGTCCAACACCTCGTATACTCTTGAGTGCATGATGTTATTACAATCAAACCCATCTTGAACGAACAAAAATACATGCAACGTGCAAAGACGTGAGCCAAAGCTTCCATGTTTTGAAATTACAAAGGTTCTTTACGGGCCATCTAAAAGACTGTCGCAGGATCAAGACAGGGTTTTCCTGGACGCGGAGACATAACAAAGTGAGGTTCATAAAAACAGCTTCAAACATCACAGAGCTACGGTAAGGGTGTTGTCTTGTGTTTAGGCTGCACAAAACGGGTGCATGACCAGAAGCTTGGGGATTTGTATGGGAGGGGTGCTGTATGGACTGTCTGGCACACGGACACATACAGAATGCACCTTGATGCGTGATGTGAAACATGTATTGGAGCAAAACAGACAAAGAGATCAAACCACCGCGATATGACAGACAACACGTCATAAATACAGCCTCTCCAATAATGCAATGAAATGTCGCCAATGTGAAACAGAAGCAAATAATCTAAAAGATGACATGGCCAGTGATGAGGTATTGCTTGCAAAGGAGCCATGCAGGAGGGGTCAATAAAAATACAAGGTGGCCATCCATCTCGCCCAAAATACATCGCGCAGCCATCTCTTTTGAAACAGTACGGGCTCCATTGCGTGGTACATCTAGCTTGACCACTCCCAGCGCCTGTTATTGACTGCATGCTTACGGGCTATGGACCGTCTATTCGTGACTTCACACGGCTAGCATTTACACAAAGAGTGTGACAGGGGTGAAAGGCTTGGAGTATCATGCCTCAATTCATCAAACAACAGTCTTTGGTATCAAAAGTCCTTGGTCTTCCTCAAGGCCTAGGTGATCAAGGAGCTTTATTTATATCAGAAGTGGTGCGAGCTTCTGCCCTAGGTCCCGTGATCGTAGCCCTCGTGTAACCGTGTGACAAAGAGCTTTTCAATGTCGCAAAGAACGTCAGCCAGGTGGGAAGATTCCTTGAACAGCTACACGACTAGCCAGAAACATGCGGCATTTGACCAGTGGCAATGTCAAGAGCTCAAAAGAAGAAGCAATCTATTCACACTCCTTGGAGAACCTTTGTTTAGGCCCACAGTCATCCTCCCAGTAGCACAGCCGTCAGAACCCCCGGGGGATAGCCATCAGCTCGAGTACGGAAACGCCGCATCTTCTATTGTCACACGGTTACAAGGGGGCTACGATCATGGAACCTAGTCCACAAGGCGCACAGACTTATTATTTTTACAAAGCTCTTTGGTCAACTAGGCTTTGAGTAAACCAAGGACTTTTGATGCCCAAGAATCTTATCATATGAATCGAGTTATTGTTCCAAGCCCTCACTGAACCCCTGTTGCATCTATCCTATCAAGTGGAGAGATGCGTAAAGGGTAGTTGCTGGGGACGCATAACTTGGCCACGCTGTACGCAGGCAGGCAAGTTGCAGCTTTGGGCACAAGCTTCTAGCTTTCCTTTTTTACAATCATAAAAAAGACCATCCCCAAGCCTCCCTTCACTTTCTCTCAGAATTCATTTCGAAAAGCGGTCTATAAAAAAGAAGCTTAGGCTACCGAGGTCAAATATCGCGACACATTCTCGTCATGTGGCCCCCGTCGAACCCAGCGGGCAACTATACCAAGGAGTCACGTTTGCCTTGGGAATTGTAACCTTGTCAGCTTTTCTCATCCCTTGGTCGGCGACGAATATGGGCATCAAGGGTATTTTTTCCGTCGGTGAATGCAAGACCTGCATCGCGTGAGAGGTTGGACTACCGTTTGGCCCACGCCAGAGTGTCGTGCGACTGTTCAAAGATGTGAAAGGAGAAAGACAAGCTCGAGGCCTGCCGAATGCATAAATCTTGTCATAGCTTACTGAATAGATGTAGTGCGACGACCACGTGTGAACGATCACTCTCGACGGAGAACAGTGCACTTGCAATAAACTTGGCGGTCACGGGGACGACGGTGTCGCTGGCCCATCTTGTGCCATCGAGCGGTGAACGTGAGAAGAGATATATTGGCGCCACCCGGTAACAATGCTGCACAACGTCTGCTTGTGTTCCGGCAAGGATGCCTGAACCAGCCGGTCCAATCGTGTCGACATTTAAATTAAGAATCGCAGACTAGACCGCGCCTGATGCGCCACCTCAACACCATGGAACGGCCCGAAGCGACCTCCTGTCGTGCAACACCGGCATGATACTTGGTATAGCTCACCGGTTCCTCGCCTGGTGGCTTGCTTCACGCTGTTGCATGGTTCTCGCAGCCGGTGTAGTACACAGAGACATGAATAGATCCTGAGTCTCGTTCGTCGACTCTCCGTCTTAAATGGCTGCATCCGTCTCTCAAATTTCAGCATTCTTCACCTTGCACTTTGCCCTCTGAGCCACTCTATTTCCGACAGTGACGACATGAAATTCACAGGTCAGAATTACGAATTGGTCCTTATACCGAGCGACTCCGAATATGAGCCCGCAGAAGTTGGCCACGAAAGCAAAGCGGCAAGCTCGTCTGTACGGCCTGTCCCACGACAATTGAGGCGTGTTGAATTTTTCCCTTTGTCTGCCCAGATAGTCATGACGATATTTGCGGCGCTCTTCATTGGTAACTTTCCCAGCCAAAAGCCTTTTAGACGTGAGATGCAAAGCTCGCTTGCTAATCGTAACATTCGCTGCAGCGCTCGCGGCCATCGCATTATGCTTGGATGGAAAGCCAACCTCTCCATTTGGACGGGTTATCCAGCGCACCATATCGGTGTCACCCACCATCTTCCCTATTGTATTCGCCGGCATCATTGGCAAGTTCTTCAGAGCGGTAGGCTTGTTTGCAGCCGAGCGCGGTGTGAAGCTAGGAGTAAGTTCGAGTCCGACTATGCTCCCACTCCCGGCATTTGGCTAACGTGACTAGATACTGGAACGTCTCATCGGGTCTCAGTCGCTCTTCTCTACTTTTGAGCGGCAATTCGCCATTCGAGGTCAATATCTCATTGGCTTTGCCATGGTGGCACTTTGGGCGCTTTCGCCGCTTGGGGGCCAGTCAGCGCTTCGACTTCTCGATGTTTCCCCGAGGCTGGTTTCGGCCAACTCTACGGTCAGATACTTGCCTATCAGTGCGTCTTTGATGACGGTGGCGTCAGGCGGAAACGGCGCGTCAAAAGCCTGGACTTCCTATGCCCCGATATACATGACCGCCCTTACAACTTCGTTCCAGACGGCGGATTCGACTGAGGATTTATTCGGCAACGTCAAGATACCAAGTATTGATGCAATAACATCGGGTGCCAATATTACGAATGGGTCCTGGGTCACAATCGATGACAGCCGCGACATCCCATACTCGTCTTTGCTGGGCATCCCCGTCGTGGGCATCCCAAATGCAGGAAATCTTTCTTTCAACATTGTCAGCAGATATCTAACTGTCGACTGCGACTATTCTGCTCAGGT